CGTGGGGGGCTCCAGGGCACCGGACGACAACGACGACGACGACGACGGCGGCGGCGGCGGCAACGACGACGACGGCGACGGCGACGACGTCGACGACGACGGAGACAACGACAAGGTTCAGGACGACGACCGCCGCATCTGAAGGTCTCCAGAGGTCGCCGGGGGCTTCTGGAGGCCTGGAAAATCTCCGATGCCTATCAGTACCGCACCATGCCTGTGAGCAAGGTACCATACCTGTGGGGGGGCCGCACCCCCCCTCCCAATGCATTCGTTACCATTACAGGGGGGGCCCCCCGTAACAGGCGTTACGCGTTCAACGACTAAAAAAACAAGCTCTCGGAGGGGCCCTCAGCGGCCTGCAGGAGGGCCTCTTCGCGATCTCGTGGGCGTAAACGTATTCGTATCCGCGGCCTCGCGGGCGGGGTTCCTGCGCCCAGCCCCGCGGATACGGGGCGTTTTCTTTCCGCGGATGCCCCGCTTAGAACGTATCTGAACGACCACGGGATCGCGCCCCGGAAGCCAGACCGCGAGGGCGCGGATACGGATATGCTCGCCGATCGTGAGGATTCGGGCTCTGGGAGTCTTGCGCGTCACCGCCAGGCCCACGGATCCAGGAGAAAGTACGCTCCCTCCCCCTAAACGTGCAGCCACGTACGCCCGATGCGGCGACGGCGCGCGCCGATGTTTCGTGAGGGCCGCGCCTGAATCAATGCGTGCTTGCACTTCCTCGATTCTTGAGGGGCGGGGGGGGCCCATGCCCTGCCCTGAGCGACAGGAGAAACAACTGCATGACCACATGAACATCAACCTTCGGAGGTCCCCAGCGGCCTCAAGGGGCCCCCAAGAGCCCCCCCCCGAGGCCCCCTAAGCTACTCCCTGGTGGCGGGATGGGCCGGAGGCCATCCGATACACGAACATGAACCTTCGGAGGTCCGCGCGGATCTCTCGCATCAGCAGCGCATCGCCCTCCCTGGCGCGCGGAGCGCGCCAGGGGCGGCGCTGGACGAATCCGCGCAGAGCTCCGAGAGTTGAACATGTTCGCAATGTCTTGCTCTCCTGTTTCTTTTTCTTCTTCCTTACTGTTATTACTATTGGTCTGATCTCATTGTCCAGGGCCGGCTTTTCGTCCTGAATTGTTTGTTGACGTGTCCTGGGGCTCGGCGAAGGCCTCTGGAGTCCGAAAAATGGCAAAAACCCTCGGCCGCGACTTTTGCTCACAGCAAGGGGATGTCCGGGTCCTCCTCCTCGTCCTCCTCCTCCCCCTCCTCCCCCTCCTCCCCCTCCTCCTCCCCCTCCTCCTCCTCCTCCTCCTCCTCGACCCCCCGCTGCCCCTCTTTGCGCGCCGCCGAAGATGCCATAGGCAACCTACACCGGAGGCGGCGCGCCGGCTCCAGCTGTGGAGGGCGGTGCCGGCTCGACGGCGACGCCCCCGGGTCGCCAGGGCGGGCGCGCGGCCTCAGGCGCGATGGCGGCTGCGCAAAAACTGCTGGGCTAGGCCGGCAACGCCCCCGCTGGCAGCTGGGAGCTCAACGGCCACACGCGACGGAGGCTCGAGGAGCGAGGACGTCCACACGAGGTCTGACGCCCGCTCACTGAATACGTGATAGGCTGGCGTTTCCGAGTGTGAGTTAAAATCACAGAGCTTGCACATCAAATGTGCAGCGAACTAGATTCCACAGAGACCCCTTGTCATCACACATGAACCTATACCCCCATGTCGAGGCCAGACTTGTCGGACCCCCTGCGCATGCCTTTTGACATTCTCAATCGAACCACGCGCGCTTCACGCGCACTTAGGATCTAGCCGTCTCCAGCCCGTGACAGTCTCACAATTGCGTGCAGATGCGTCCGCGCACATGCAACGGCAGGAGTCACCCACAAGTTGTTCGGACATGTGGTGGAGAAGTAGTAATTCAGAACGTGGACCGAGCAAAGAGGATACCAGACCAGGTGCGCTACGAAGATCTAGGCACACCCATTTGTGGTCGGGGTCGCGGCCCCGGGGCCCCCGGCCCCTGTCCCCCGTTGTGTGCGCATCTGCGCGCCCGCATGTTAAATTCATCCAAACATGCAATTTGTTCCCAAAGAACAACCCATTAGTTCTACTCACAGATTCTGAATAACCGTTGCTGAATGAATCCAAGCTCTGTCAGAATTCTGAGCGCGCGCACTCGATGAAACCGCTCGTGCACCAGACTGCCGACAGCACGTAGAGAAAATCCCATAGATTGAACCAAATAGGTTGCACCGCAGAGATTGCACTGCTTGCGCAACACAAATGGCACCAGACAAGTTGCACCCTGCACAGATTGTACAACATACCGCATAAGTCGCACCACATAGATTGCACAGCGGTGCACATCGAGAGCGCAAGAACCCATTGCTTGGCACCCATGCTGGCAGACGTTTTTGAGGTCTCGGGCGGAGGTCGACTACGAACATCTGGAAGCCACTGGGGGCCTCTGGAGGCCGAGGCGGGACCTCCAGGGAGCTCTCCCGAGGGGCTTCTTGCGATTGACCGACCCACCCTCCCTGAATCCTGACGCGGTGCCGTCGCCAGGCGACCCTCCCGGTGTAGCTTGGCTGGGCCTCCCGACGGGCTGCACCGCGGCACCCAAAGACACGCAAAAAGACCCACTGCCTGCAGGATTGGCCCGAACCGCGCCACCATCGGGGGCACTGGGCCAGCCGCGTTGATCGGCAAGTGGCGCGCTCGGCGCCAGGGTATAACGGTGAGCACCACTGCGGCTGGTTCGTGTCGTGAAGACCTGCGCGGTGGATTCTGACACTTTGTGGGCCGTTCAGCCTTGAGCGATCGGAACTTTCCGATAGCGCGGATCGTTGGATGTCGGCCGATTCCAGAGCACTTGCGGCAGTCAACCTTGAACGCCCGCGCTGGGGTAGCCGTCGCGTCGACACGGCGCGAACCCATCGTGCCACCAGAAACGAACGCTCTATACAGATCCCCGCGCCAGGCATGCGGCGACAGCGGCGCGACGCCGCGTTGCGCACCGTCCGCCTACGGACTCCGGAGAAAGACACTGAGACCGTACAGTCGTGACTGTAACAGGAGTGTGTGAATTATTGCCGACTGTGGTAGGCGGCAGCTCCATGAAAACACGCGCGCAGCTATGTCTCGACAATTAAAGCTGCACGGGCGCGTGGGCCCCGCAACGTACACGAGGGCATCCCCATGAAGTGATGAAGTGCGCAGGCAACTGTGCCCCCGCTGTGGAGCTGCGCCGGCGTGCAATTGTCTTGCGGGATCCAAGAGATACCGATACGCCGACACCGCTGCTCCCTTGAGTAGCAACGCTGGGGGGGACCAGCTCAGGGGAGGAACATCGACCTGAAATCGGCGATACATCGCCGATAGATCGGCGATAGTTCCCCGATAGCGAACCATCACGTTCGCTCCTTGGCGGGGTGGGGCTATCGGGCCCCCATCTGCGATGAATTTGCGATTGGGGGTCGATGCAGTTCCCTCTGAGCCTACCCCCCCCCTCGCGTTGCCCCTGATCCATGGACCTCTCCAGGGGTCCGCCCTGACCAGAATCCTACCAGCCCTCTGGGCGTGACTGGTTTAGGGCGTTTTCTTTTCTATCTGCCCTTCTTCAACCCTTCTTCCCCTTCGGGGAGGGGTTTGCCCCTCCCCCTACCCCTTCCCCCTGGACCTGGACGGAGCGCCGCGCGACCGATTGAAGCGTCCATAATGGCCCATTATAGCTCCAAGGAGGCTTCAGACAGCCCAAGATGGCCTCCAGGAAGGCTCAGGACGGCTCAAGATTGCTGAAAATGGCTTCCAAGGAGCACCTAGAGGCTCCAAGACCGCCTCAAGACGGCTCCAAGCGGCCTCGAAGCACCCCAAAGAAAGCACCCAAGAGGCCAAAATCAGTCCAGAACCTATGGAAAATCAATGTAGTTTGCTTTCTTGCCTTTTCGCTTCGGATGGCCGTCCGAAGCCTCAAGATAGCTCCAAGATGGCCCATGAGGGCACCAAGATAGGCCCAAGACGGCTCCAAGAGGGCCCAAGAGCATTCCAAGAGATCTCCAGGAAGGCCCAAATGGGAGAATTCAGAGGCTCTAGAGGGGCCCCGCTAATTAAGGACTCCTCCTCTTTGATCGATGTCCTACAAGATGGCCTCAAAAGGGCCTCCAAGGCTCCGAAGAGAACCCCAAGAGGCCCCCAAGAGCCCCCCCCAGAGGTGCCTAAACGGCTCCAACGGCCTAAGGGGCCTCCTGCTCGCCCTCCTCCTCCTCCTCCTCCTCCTCCTCCTCCTCATCATCATCATCATCATCATCCATTTTCTCCTCCATCCACCTCCCAATTCTACAGATAACGGCTGCCCCCTATCTTGCTCCTACGCTTCCCTGGTCACCACACCTCTCCTGGGCATCGCTTCTGGATGGGCTGGGGGGGGATACTTTTTGTCAGCGGCCGCGGGCGAGCGCGCCGGCGGCGAGTCCAGTCAAAGCGGGGCACGCAGCGACGAATTAACCTAAGGCGACGGAGGGAGGCCACACCTACAGCGGCAAACTAAGCCTCACGCAGCAGCCCAGTGGCGGACTGGCGGATGGGGGGGCAGCAGAAACGGAGTCGAACTGCCAGCGTGCAAGTATGCAAAGCGTCGGACACCAGGGAGACGGGACACACGACGACCCGGGCCAGAAGCCGAAATTAATGCAAGGGCGCAACCCCTGACAACTGCGTGAGTACCAGGGTGGCCCGAAGGACCGCGGGGGGGGATACGCGAAGGTTCAAAAAATTCATAGCGAACCCGGCCGCAGGCACGAGGGGGGAGGTAGCGATTGACGTGGCGTGATATCGCTAATATATGTTCTATCCGACTGAATGTATCTGAATGGTCACAGCGCCTGAGTCAGCATATCTGAAGACACCTGGGGCAAGGACATAGCAGCAGCAGCAGCATACAGAGCGACCCGAACACAGATGTCAACGTTCTTACGCACAGCAATGGGGGTATCTCTTCCCCTGATGTCTAAGCTGGGCACTGGGCCGACAGCCCGCCGGGGACATGACGCAGGCAGACCTTCAAGGTGAGGAGCGGAGTGGGGCTCAGCACGGCGGCTACCTCGGCATAACGCCGCCGCCGGCGGGTGTCGAGGGCGCCACGCTCGGCCAGCGCTGCCGCAGCGTGCGCAGTCAGCCCCCTGCCAGGATTAGTCAGAATCGGATCGGCATGCAGGATCGGGCCGGAAGAGGCCTCGGACTGGGCCGCATCGGCACGGAGGCCAAAATCGGACCGGAACGGCCGTGCCAAGATGCACAACAACGCCGCTCAAACATCGGGCCGCATCGGATCGCCGGAATATCCCTGAGATCCGACGTGGCGAACACGTGTACCATCGCAGAACATCACGACCCGCGACCTGGACCCTGCCTTTCTGCGGCACTTTCCAAAAGGGATCGATCCGTGAGGGCCCCGTGGCCCGAAACAGCGCAGAATCGCAATTTGCGAAACAAGTACGAAGCCAAGATCTCACTGGTTGGAATACCCAAATCGAGACGAATCGGGCTGGCCGGAACGGTACAGAGCCGGATCGATCGGATCGAAGTGGGCCTCTGCGTCGTGAGCGCAGGGTCTGCGCCCCAATCCAGGAGCAGGCGCGCGACCTCGGCGTGGCCCTGCATCGCGGCGGCCATCAGCGGCGTAGCCCCCGCGGGGCTGCGCGCGTTGACGTCTGCCTTGTGCCTCAGCGCGAGCTCGACCTCGCCCTGGTCGCCGCTGCACGCCGCGTACAGCAGCCACGCCCCCCAGTCCCCTCGCAGCTCCATGATCCTGATGGCAGCTCCTCCTCCTCCTCCTCCTCCACCTCTTCCTCCTACTCGCCTCCTCCTCCTCCTCGTTTTCCTCCTTTTCCTCCTCCACCACCCCTCATCGTCCTCCTCCTCCTCCTCCTCCTCCTTTTCCTCCATCACCACCCCTCCTCGTCCTTGTCCTTCTCCTCCTCCTACTCCTCCTCTTCCTCCTCCATTCCTTTTCTTTGTGAATGACTCCTAAACGTCGCGCCCCGAGGGCAGTCGGAAGGGCGGGCTGTGCGTTTCGCCTGACACTTCCCTACCATTCATGAGCCTGACGCGTAACAACTGGCAACGATTTCACAAAATGTGGCTCTCGCCTTGGTGCCGTTTCACGGATTGACAGCGGGTCGTTTTCAAAATTTGGCTCTCGCCTCAGCGCAGCGCACATTCGTTTTAAACATTTGAAGCTTTCACGGATTGGGGGCGTTTTTTCTCAAAACGTGGCTCTAGCCTTGGCGCCGCGGAGCGTCGTCAAAAAGACAGTTGCAAGAGTTTCACGGATTGAGTGCAGCTCGGTTTCAAGACGTGGCTCTTGCTTTAGCGCTGCGCACATTTGTTCTACATGTTTGCAAGAGCTTCACCGAGTGAGGACGGGTGGCTTGCACAATGTGGCTCTCGCCTTAGCGCAACGCACATTCGTTTTAAACATTTGAAAGAGTTTCACGGGTTCGGGGCGTTTCTTCTGTTTTTTGTTGTTGTTCAAAGTGTGGTTCCAGCCTTTGCGCCGCGCACAATCGTTAAACAGATATTTGCAAGAGATTCACGGATTGAGTTCAGCTCGGTTTCAAGGCGTGGCTCTCGCCTTAGCGCTGCGCACATTCGTTTGCGCACATTCGTTTCAAATATTTGCACACTGAGTGAGGACGGGTGGTTTTCATAATGTGGCTCTCGCCTTAGCGCCGCGCACTTTATTTTAAACATTTGCCAGAGTGTCGCGGACTCCAATGGTTACCCTTCCACGAATTGTGTTTTCGAACGGTTCAGGATTGTCAATGCGCTAACAGTTAGATTGACTCGCGGTGCTGAAGTCCCAGGAATGGTGTTCTGGCACGATGCAACAATCATGTTGACTCGGGGCGTTGAAATCCTAAGAATGGTGCTTTGGCACGCTTCAGGATTTTCTCACGGTTGTCTCCCGACGGGCCACGTCCCCTAGTGGACGTGAACCCTTACATGGAGCCTATGAAGAGGGACCTTGGAGGGAGTAAGCATCCCAACATCGTTGATGAGTCTTGGGTTTACGCTGGTCCTCCTCCTCCTCATCCTCGTCCTTCTCCTCCTCCTCCTCCTCCTCCTCCCCCCAAGATCAATCAACATAGAATCGAAATTCGGGTCGGACACGAACGTGCATCGGACCGGGCGGCATCGGCACGGAGTCGCAACTGACCCGAATCGTCCGCGCCCAAATGCACGACAACGCCATGCAATCATCAGTCCGCATCAGATCGCCGGAATATCAGCACGGAACCTGATCGGGCCGACAAGAAGCGATATCGAGCAGGATCGACGTGGACCCGGCCTCCTCCCGCGCGGAAAGGGATGGAGTAGGCCCATGCCTTTCCCATTTTCTATGGCAACATGGCCCACCGAAGGATCTTGTGTCCTCTCGCGCGACCTCTCAAACCAAACTCGCTTGGTTGTATCACCCCCACCCATGAAGCATTGCCCAAGCGCCCGAGGACGAAGAGCGTGCATGCACACGCGGGAAGGCGGGCCGTCTAACAGGGCAGGATAGCGTCTCGGAAAAGGACTTCGGCCCCTGCCCCGGGAGGCCAGAGGAGCCACCCGCTTGAGGCCACCGTTGCCCAGGACGCCGCGCCTGGCGGAAGTCGGCGGAGGAAGAACGGTGACGACCACCGCCGCCGAGAACCCGTCGGGGGGGGGCGGCGGGGGCGACCCCTGGGGGCAGTGGCACGCCCGAACGTCACCCAGTAGTTAATACCTGAAGACGCTCAGGCGTGCCGCCGCCCGGGGGCGGGCCCCCCCACCCCAGATGCGGGTTCTCGGTGGCGGCGGTCTCTGTTACTAATCTTAGGAAGAGAGCGAACGTTTTCTTAAACGGCGTTTCGACATTGGGCGGGATGGGGGGGGGAGAGGGGGTCGTACCAATTCGCTGACAATGGACCCAGGTGGACCCATACGAATGACAGCGGCATTCATATATGTATGCGTCTGTGTATAACCGGCCGATGTCCCTCACCACGCACCCACCACGTCCAGGCACCCCGACCCCACGAGAGCTCATGTCTTGGGACCCCCCCACACGACACTTTCGAGTCCGAAATGTAGCGGTACCCCCCACCACGGGTTCCCGCGCGGGCGGCGGCCCATGCCCCTAGGGCGTGGTGTTTTCCATACAAGATGCACGTATGCAGCCGCGCGCACGGCGGCCCTGGCCCTCGCGCGCTGTGCTATTCCATGTGGGAACGGCGTGGGCCGCCGCGCGCTCGGCGGCCCATGGCCTCTCGCGCATTGTGCTATTACATACAGGATGCGCCCTGGCGCGTTGTGCTTTTGCATATACGATGCTTGTGGGCCGCCGCGCGCGCGGCGGCCCTGACACTACACCGACATGTGCCGCTACTCCCACATCCAACTGTGACGACGAGGGAAGGGTAGCTGTGTCGGCATTTTCTCCGAGACGCAGGATCTCGCCGATACATCTCCGATGCATTGCCAATGCATCATCGCCGATACATCTCCGATGCATCGGCGACGTCGGCGATGCACCAACGCCATCGGCGTGGAGAACGTCGGGCTCCACATCGAGCCGCATCGCCGATGTATCGGCGATGCGGCGCGATCCTCCGACCCCGTCTGCTCTGACCCCGTCTGGGAGCCCTGGAGTGCGCACAGCAGCCCCCGAGGCGCAGGCACAAACGAGCGCCGCTCTCCTGTGCACCACGCGCAGCTGGCCCGTCCGGGCCGCGATCGGCAGGGACCGGGCCTCCAGGAGCCGGGCCGCGGCCTCGTCCTGACGGCCCCCGCGCAGGGCCGCGAGCAGCGGCAGGTCGGCGGCGAGGAGCTCGAGGTGGGCCTGGAAGGCGGGCAGCCTCGACAGCTCGACGGCCGTGCCGTAGAGCTGCTGGAACACCTCCCGAGATCTCCGCCGATCTGCGCGCGTCAGTGCGGGCGGTGCTCCTCGGTTTCGGCCCTCGGGGTCCTGCACAGAGAGCCCCAGGACCATCAAAGAACTGATGCGGGGCGAAAGGCTGGCCCCGGGGAGGGGGACAGGACCTCTGGGGCCGCGCGTTGAAAAAAGCACACCGTCGGATGTCTGGGTCTTGGGGGTCCGAAACCTGTGCGGTGACGGACCGTGCGGTGACCTCGGGATCCCCAACGGCCTCGCCACACGGTCCGTCGCAGCACTGTTTTGGGGAACCCTGGAGGCCCCGGTTGCCCGAGGCATCCTTGGAGAACGTCCCAAGTCCCAAGACCGTGCGTTCGCCCCGATTCTCCACTGACGAAACAGACACGCCGCCGTAGGGAACCCATCATCGTGCTTCTGCTGGGGGCACAGTGCCCTCGGACCCCCCCAAACAACGAGGGAGGAAGACGCTGACGTGCTCACAGCGGCAGCATTTCACGATCACGCGTTGTCCATCCCGAACACCTCGCACAGGCATCCCCAGCGCTCGCGGTCAGAGCGGGCGGGCCGGTCGGGCTGGGCAGAGGGGTCCAGCAGCCTGAGCTTCAGCCACTCCGTCTCCTCCTCCGTGAGCTCCCCCAGAAGCCGCACGCGGTCGCGGAGGTCGAGGAAGCGGTCCTGGACATCGGCGAAGTCCGAAGGCACGGCGTTAAGCTCCATCTGGTCGTCGCAGATCGTCAAAGCCGTGCACTTGCGGGGATCTTCCAACCGCAACACGCTCTGGAGCAGCACGACGGCGAGAAGGCCGATGACCGCCCTCGGATGCATGAGCTCCACGTCTTCAATGGACACGCAGCCCCTGCCGTGCAGATACTCGGCGACCTGCTCGAACTCCTCGTACAGCCGCTGCTTGTGACTCATCGAGGCGCAAGAAAGCGCACGCTGCAGAGACGGCTAACCACTTGAGACGAGATCGCCTGGACCAAAATGGCTCGAACCAAGCCAGAAGCCAGGGCCCGTATGCAATTTGACGTGGGGCACGAGGATCAGAGAACAAAACACGCTAGCTTTCTCCTCCCGGCCAAGGTCCACTCATTACTAAGTCCCGATGCACCTTCTGGAAACCATCCTGGCACTTCGAGCTACGTGCAAACGCGACGACGACCCCGCAAGGACAAACATGGCGTGCACACTCACTTCTGGACAGGCCCGCGCCATCCTGGCGCGTGCCATCCCCGCGAAAAGGCCATGCACATCTTCTCTGCGTCGCCCGTCCCCCGCTGGTACCCGACAAACGCGCACGCACGCAGAATCCGGGCGGGCGCTTCCCTCTCCACCCCCCCCCCCCCACCCACAGTTGGCCCCCACTGGGTTTGTTTAGCCCACGCTGGGCGCCCATGGCGCACCCCGCATCCACTGCGACGCGAGGCCCCGCCCACCAACATTCTCGCCGCAGACATGCCGACTGGTCCTACACTGCCCCCGAGTGCGTGGCTGAAGTGCGGTTCTGCTGTGCGGAGTGTGGTTCCTCTTCGTATTCGTGTTCTTCGTCCCTTCGTCCAACGACACACCACACAACCACCTGCGAGCCCCCCGCGAACCCAGCCGCAACCCGAACAGACCGCTGACAATTCGCGACCCGACCCATCCGCGACCCATCCGCGACCCGACCAAACCGCGCTTGAACTTCACCGCCTGTGACCCGCCCGCGACGCGTCCTTCCACGCCGACGGCAAACCCGCGACTCACCGACATCATGCTCGCGCCTGCCACGGGTGGCTGCGCATCGGCTTTGGAAGAACGCCGCTGCTCGCCCCCGCTCGCGCGGCCCTCCGAATACCGCCTCGATCGGCGATGCGCTCGTGGACCGCCACCTGTCTCTCATCCGCAGCTGCGGAGATCAGGCACATTCGGGGATGGACAGACCCCCCTTTAGTAAAACGTGGTTTAGTGAAAACGACCTGAGGCCCAAACCTTGCGGGCGCAAGCCTGGAAAATAACGGCCACGGCGCCCTCTCGAGAACCGAAAACGGACAATTCACTAATCGACGTGTCACTGTTGGGGGTTCTGTCCACCCCCGACACATAAGCGCCAGGACCGAAACTGAGGGCCTCGAGGTCGACACCAGCACCAACGACGCAATTTCCACGTCACGGCGAGCCTCGGCCACGACACGGCCTCCCCCGATGCAGACCTCAGGAACAGGCCCGAACACCGGAGCCCCTCCCGAGTCTCCTGGACCCAACCCAGCACGGCAAGGCCCGGTCGAATCGAATCGGTCCGCAGGCGGACGTGGGCAGAGCACTGTGAGTTCGCGTGGGCGATGGAAAATTAGTGTGTAGAGTCGAACTCAGAAGTCGTGCGCGTAGCCCTCGGCCTGGGCACGCCGTTTCCACGGGTCCCGAGCAGCCACCCAACGTGGCCCTCTCTCAACGGCTCGAGCGTACACCAGTATTGGCGGCAGGCTCCACCGATCGCACGATTGGACGACTCCCCTCCAATCGTTGGATGGAACCGCCAATCTTAGTATCTGCGACCACTACCAGGCCTCCAACGATCAGCATTTGACATTATCTCCTGCTCCTCTTCCCAGCAGAACGATTCGGACCCGTAGTTGTCAGACAATGATAATATTTGTCTCACCTCGGGCGGCCTCAGGCAAGCCTCCGACAGGAGGCTCTTTCCCTTGAGCCATTTAGCATGCAAAGAGGGGGAGGGACGGGGGCGAGGCCTGGAAAGACTTCACGCAAGCTGGACTCGCTGTCACGCCGTTTCGGCCCAGCGCTGCCTGAAAGGCAGCGAAGGAGGGGTGAGGGGCAACGATATGGGGGACCAGCTCAGGGGGGGGGGGGGGACGTCGAAATCAGCAATACATCGCCGATAGATCGGCGATAGGCCCACGATAGCGAATCCGTACGTTCCTGGGCGGGGTGGACTATCGGGCACCTATCGGCGATCAACGAGCAACTGGGGGTCGATGCATGGCCCCCCGGAGCGTATCCCCCCCTAACGTTGCCCCTGAGGGGTTTCGGGGGGGGGGGGATACCATCCACGTCCACGAAATCAAAACGCCCGTCAGCCCCCCGAGGATCTCCAGACTGAGCCTCGGCCCAAGGCCGCGACCCGGCGGCGCGCAGGCAGCCCCTGGACGGCGGCCATCGACCAGACAGAAAGAGACGAGAGGTGCCACATGACGCGGCCTTCTGGGCGGCCACAGAGAGTGCTGCGCTGGCCGGGTGGCGGAATTTGCCGCAGAAGCCTGGGTACCCCTATCCCCTACGATCTCCTACTGCACGCGGCAGTAAGTCCTGGCCAAGTGGCAGGTGAAGGCCATGTCTGCAGACTTCAGGTGCCAGGCTAAGTTCATCAGCAGGTACGTGACGCAAAGGGCAGTACCAGGAGTGATGCGGTGCGAGGCGTACACGAACTTTCGGCGGGCAATGATGCAACAACGACTCTGATGTATCGCCGACATACCACCGCTCTGGCATTGTCTAACGCTTCCTCTGCAAGCGCGCTCAATGTCAACCGCGTGCTCTTGCGCCATGGCTCCCGCCGCCACTTCATCACCCTCACCATGCGTCTCCAAACAATGATGAACCGAGAATGCTAGTCTCATTAACAGGTTCCTCTGAACTCGGGGAACCCGTCCCCGATTGGGGGGAAAGTTTCCTCAATAAGTAACTAAGAAAGGAAGATATTGTATTGCATTGCTTTGTTTTGCATTGCTCAGCGACGGCTTGCAATGCGTTGCATTGCGCGTTGCTTTGCGTTGCTTGTCATTGATGTGCGCTTATTGGCTTTGCGCTGCATTGCTTGGCATCGCATGGTGCAGGTTTGCATCATTTTGACTGATTGGGACAATGAGAAACACGATCAAGGACCCTGTGGAACCCGAGAAACGGCTCTTCAAACACGGTGAGGAAACAAGACTAAGGAACCTGGGGGCCCGAGGAACAACTCCCGAAACATAGTAAAGAGACGAGGCAATGGAACCCAAGCAAGACCTGAAGCATCAAGACCAAGGAACCAATGAAGCAAGACCCAGGCAAGGAACCAAGGAACCAAGATTAAGCAAACGAGACCAAGGAAACAAGACCAAGGCAAGGAACGAAGAAACCAAGACGGGAGAAAAACCAAAGCAAGGCACCCAGGGAGCCAAGGCCAAAGAACCAAGGCACCGAGACCAAGGCACCCTTCAGAGCTTTGCAAGGACACAAAACCGAAGAGCGCTGGGCACTCCCCTGGGTAAAGAAACAAAGCCAAAGAACCTTGGGGAAACCCGGCGCGACCGCGTTCGGCACCAGCTGGATCTCCACAAACAAACAACAAATCATAAGGCAACGCCGAATTGGGGATACATGCGTCAAGATAAACTTTCGGAGGTCCGCGCGAAACTTCGAGAATTTATGTTTCCGTCCATGTGTCCGGACATTGCTGGCAGCCTTCCCAGGTCTAGTGGTGAAAAAAAATGCAGGTTCCAAAAAACACCTCTCAGAAGTCTCAGAAATCCAAAGAACTTTCGGGCCTTCTGCGAAGGCCTTCTCCTTTTCACTTCCCCCCCGGGCGCGCCGCCGAGAGGAGGGAGGGGGTGGCGGCTTCGACACACCACCAAGACACCATCACGACACCGCGGGACAGCACGGGACAGCACGGGACACCACGGGACACCATCGGGACACCACGGCGGGACACCCCTTGCACCTGCTTGTTACCCTGCCGTGGGGGGGGCAGGCTTTTGTCCTCGCCGCGCCCTAATTTGCCAGAGGAGGGTTCAATCCTCTCGCCCGCCCACGCAGCTTCGCCTCGCCCGCACGCACCTCGGTCTGCGGTGTCGGCCCAGGCCGCCGGCCGTCCTCTCAGGGCGCGCCGCCGAGGAGCCCGCGGTGCCTGCCTGAGCACGCCCCAGGGGACCAGCGAAAGCGTGCCGCTCTGGGACGCACAGAGGCATAATAATACTATATGTCCTCCTTGGAGGCGCGCGTCCGACCAGAACATATAGTATACCCATCTTGTAGTATATCGTTTCCCGAGCGGTGTGGCCAGAAAGCGTCCGCCACGACGCATATACTGTAAGATTTCTCGGTGCGCGCGTCGCCCCTGGGGTGGCGACGCACATACAGTATCAGTATGTTGGGGTGATGCCGAGAGAAAGCGTGCCGCTCTGTCCCGTCGAGCCAGGACCCACTTTTCCACCCGAGCGGCGAGAGAAAAAACGGGTCTTACAGGAGAGCCCAAATCGAATCGATGACTCGGATCGGCACTCGAAAAAATTATCGAATCGGCGGACGTCGGCAGCCAAGTCGGGAGAAGTCGAATCGGCGGAAAGCGGCAATGTGACTTGCAGGCTTCCGTCCGAAATCGGACTCAAAATTGGGATCCGAAACCGAATCGACTCGGAATTGGAAACCACCGACATCGAATCGAATATGAGGAATCGAAACAAGCCCTGCTCTTAACCGAGATGACAGAACGACTTTACGCGGCGGCGTGCGCGGGCCGCCCGCGCGGAACGCTACACTGAAGCGAGGGCGCTTGCGCGCGACCATACGCGGGCAACTTACGCGCTAATGTCGGTGAGAACGGCCCCGTTTTTCGGCGTCGCTCACCTGTCTCCAGAACGCTCCCGTGCAGCATCCAAATGTGTCTCTGGCATGATAGGGGCCTGAAGGAAGCAAGTCGTGGACGAGCATTTCTACCGAACCAATTCACTATCCGGAATAATGCTGCACGGTCCCGTGAGGGCTCCCCGGAACCCGATATTGGAGACAAAACTCAGGACCTGTTTCCATCGGGACTTGTTTGCTTCATGGCGACCCTGTCCCTCTAGCTGTGCGCAACCTGCCAAAATCAATCACCATCGATATAGGGGGAATCGGGTAAAACGGAATGTGCGTCGGATCTGGCCGAATTGGCGCGGAGTCAAGATTGAATCGGATCGGCCGCGCATGCAAGCATCGAGCCGCATCAAGCCGTCAAAATCTTGCACTCGAGTCGAGTCAAGCATCGCACTGGCCGAAATCGGCACGATCTCAAATTAGATCGATCGAAATGGACCCTGATGGGTGAGGCCCAGGCTCATAAAACAACAAGGATGGCTCCAGCGATCGATACGATCACATCGAGCCTTGGCCTCGATCGATATCGATCGAAGCAAAGGCTCAGTACACACGCCCTCCTAGCTCGGCCAAACAGGCGCGCGCACCGCTCCTGGGGCCCAGCACTGGCATGCGGCCACGATCCGCAAGCGCGCGCAGGAATGACCAGCATCTACCCACAGCCAACCCCGAGGGGCTACGAGAAGGGGGGTGCGAAAATGGTAGGATAGCAAAAAAGGCAGGTGGGAGAATCAGCGCACGTAGCTGGTCTTCCTGGCGCCTCCTGGCGCCGGGAGGCGCCCGTACATCAAAAAATCGGCCCGGCGGCGGCGCCGAAATCAGCTGCGCGCAACAGCTTTCGCGCCCCCCCCCCTTTTTCGCCCGGCCCGAAAAATATAGGGGGGACAAGCGGGGGGGAAACGTCGACCTGGAATCGGCAATGCATCGCCGATAGATCGGCGATGGGCCCAAGTAGTGAATCCGCACTTTCCTGGGCGGGTTGGGACTATAAGACCCCTATCGGCGATCAATGGGCGATTGGGGGTCGATGCGATACCCCTTATGCCCATCCCCCTACCGTTGCCCCTGAAATCCCCAGACCAGACACCCTGACCCGTGTTCCGAGCCGCGGTCAAACGTGGCAAGCGACAGCGCCCGCTCCCGGGGCCGCCCCAAATCCTTCCCCATTTCTGGCGCCGTCGCGTTCCTGGCGCCGGCGCCGCGCTGGAATGGACACGGGCGACTGGCCCCCCAGTCGGCGCCAGCGCAAATCGCGACGTGACAGGTTCCCCCTCCCCCCCCCTCCTCTCCCTCCCCCTTATCCTCGAGCGCAGCAAAATGGGCGCGGCAGTCCTCGGATTCAGCCAGCTGCGCCAGCCAGGGCGCGGGCAGCAACTGATGCTGGCCTACGCACCTGGTGCCTAACTGTCGCCATCACTGACGCGCGCGACTGCTCAGAAAGAGGGGTATTCGGGAGTGAACGGAGGGAGTTGTGAAAGCAACGCGCATGCACGCAAACAAATATCGAGTCTCCAGACGGGTTGACGGTCCCAAACCTCTGGATTGGACACTCTGGGAGAGGATGCTGGACGCACTGGGCAAGGAGGCGCTCAAACTGGGGGCAGCACCAAGCATGTGCCAATCTATAGGGGGCTGGACGCCCGAAGATGCAAGGATGATCTTCTTGAAGCCGTCCTAGCGTGATCCATCCCCCACTCGGAGTTTTCTGAACTGAGAAGCTTGAGGCCATGGGGGGAGAGGAGAGCAGCGTTCTCAGGGCGAGCCAGCCGATGCCACGAACCGCCGCCGCATACCCAGGAAACAAACATCGAAGCAAGTTTGTGTTTGAATAGTTGGGGAAGTTCACCATGATTCACGTTGAGCTTAACCTCACGATGAACAGTACGTTGATGATGTAAGTAGTTGACAGGACGATTCGGGCGAGCACGCTGGGTATCTTTAAGAGATTGAATAGCTCGTTGTGCGCGACAACGAGGTTCGCTGCCAATGCTGGCGACTCCCAGAAGTCAGGCCACGGGGGCCCACGGACAGCGCGCACGAGCGAAACAATCTTCTGCACAGGCTCGCTGACGCTCTTGGCGCGCCTGAGACCAGCTCGAGAATGTGAGCCGAGGGCCGGGGATCATCTGAGAGGCATTGACCCACCCAGAAGGCTCTGGATCTTAAGCCCTCTCCACATCGACAGGTTGCTCCGCGAGTCCCGGCAGAAGCAGCAGGGCGGCAGGCGGAGGACGGGCCCGAGGACGCCGTGCCCTCGCCCCCGCAGCTTGCGCGGCAAGGGTGGGAACTGGCCGGCGCGAGACAGCGCGCTGATGGCGCGTGCCGAGCACAACGTGGCCGTCCGGAACATCGGCGCGCCTGCCTTGCTGATCCCCCCGGACCTGCAAGAATCATTGTGGAATGGGGCCTCCGAGAGGTTTCGGTGGCCGCCGAGGGGCCGAGAAACATCTCGGAGTATTTGACCAGGGGGGCGAACGAGATGCCCGCCCATTGGGGTGCGAGACGACGGAATTCGACTTCGCGGCGACCCCCATGCTCGGGGGTAAAGGGCTCGTAAGAGGATAACCAGGTTACACTTGGGAACTTTCATGGTCAGGTGGGCCAAACTTTGGGCCCCCTGGACTACCTCAAAGAGCCTCGGGATACTCTGGATGGCCTTCAGAATAGAGTTCCTACATCGCCCGCGCGCGCTCTGAAAACCCCGCGTCCTGGAGTCTCGACAAGCATGCGAAACGGCCGCGCGAATGGGGCACCTGCCCCACGCGAAGAGCGCCCTGCCGGCAGGGCAGCCCTGAATTATGCCACTGTGAATCATGCGCAGCTCCATCGATTGGCCACCTAGCGAGGCCAGGCAGGCGACGTCCTGATGCATGAATTCGAAGAACCAGAGGAGCAGGGGAAGTCCCAGACGCCTGAGAACCATAAATGGCCAATCGCGGACCACGGATGGCAAAGCCTGTCCAAAGTCGCATGCGAGAAGGCAAGGCAGCGACGTCATCGGCGAGGACTGCGCGCTACAAATTCTGGCCAGACCGTCGAGCTCGACAATGCCGCTGCCGAACCGGCGCGCGGGCACGAAACCCTTCTGGGAGCGGTCAGCGAACTTGGTCAGGGCGTGCGTCAGAGACCTCTCGCAATACCCAACCATGGATTTGTTGTCGTAACTGAGTGGCGGCGGGTTCGCTGACGATGCCACCTCCGAGACTGCCAACAGCCCCCCCCTTCGGGATAAAGACGCCCGAGGGAAAGTTGAACCCGAAAAAGCGCCGGCTGCCTTGAAAGACCCGCTGGAAGCACTTGCAGAAAATCTCCCCGCGTGGGACCGTCTGCCACGCGCCGCGTGGGGGCGTGCCTGGGCCCGGGGCGCCGTGCGCCAGCCGGCTGAGGCGCCGCTTAAACTCGCCAAACGCCGGCGGGCGCAGATCGCTATCCGGCAGGCGAAGGTCGAACTGGTCGAGACAGGGCGCGGCAGCCTCGCTCTCGAAAGGCGCCCAATACTCTGGAAGAAGAGGAGGGGAGAGACGCTCGACAGGAGCTGCTGCCATCGCCTGCTGGAGGAAAGACCGGCACTCCGCGCTCTGAAAGACTTCACGCGGAACTGGGTGCTCAGAAGCAAGAAGAGGAAGACGGACCTGCACAGCGGCTGTCACAGGCGCGCGATCCGTCACCTGGGGGGCATGACGGACCTCACGATGATCAACAACTTCTCCCCCGGACGCGCAGTGGGCAAGGGTCCACCCTGAGGCCGAACAAAACAGCCTGTTAATCTGCGCGAGTTGCTGTTGCGCGGAGTTGAGGTGGGCTGGGGGCCCCAGCCCACCTGCCCACCTGGGGCAGAAAGCTGGCACCCAACCATCTTGTCAAACGCCGTCTTCCAGGGTTCGGGTGGGGGGATCGGAGAGCTCAGGGGACTCTTCGGGCATCTGGGAGTGGATGGGGTTGAACACAGCCATGTCTTAATCCCCAACAACAGAAACTATGATGTTCACTGGGTCCTGTTGGCCTCCTCGAGCTCGGCCTCGAAGTGGCCCAAGAAGACGCGCCGCTGCTCCGGGGACACGCCGAAGTTGCGCGAACTGCAAGGAGAAACCCAGCCCGACCCGTTCGATCCAGCAATCTTGGCATGTAGGATACGCGCGTGAACGAAAGGGACCGATTCGACGACTGGGCAAGGAAACCCTGAGCACTTCAGCCTGTCCTCAGAGAACTCTGGGATCAACGCCGACACCCCGCCAGCATTCAGACGGGGGTGAGGGGGCTACTCAGAGGAAAAAAAAGGGATACTACGCTGGTGTAGGATGCCTCCCACATCGCGCTGGCGACCGTGGGTCTTGCATGGCATCAGTGGACCCGCCCTTCAGGAGCTCGCGAAGGTACCTAGCGTGGGGGAGACGCTCCGCTGGAGAATGGCGGAAACGAGCGCGCGCATTCCAAGCGACGACGCGCGCAGGGGGAGAGTAGGAGGACAGAGCGGAGAAGCCCGACAACAGCACGCGCGCCCTGATAGGAACACCGCCCAGCTCGCTGCGCGCCCGCCGACAACCTCGACAATGCTGCCGCGCACGATGCCCCCCGCCGCCAAATGTGCCCCAAACCACAAAATGCCCGGGGCCTCCGTCGCGCAGGTCCAGGCGACGCGGACGAGCGGCCGCCAGCTGCAGCTGACCTCGCCCGAGACGCGGTCCACGAAAAACTTCTTAGACAGGCGCGTAGATTGCAACGCTCTCCGAGCCGCTTTCGCCGCCACTTCTCTCTCGAAGGAAATCTCGCCGACTTCATTGGTGACGCGGGGGGCGTCGAGTGTGAGGAACTCGCCATTCGCCAACCGCATGTTGCCCAGGAACTGAAAGTCCCTCCTCGCCGCGAAAGTGGGATTGTCGAGAATCTGCATCTTGAACCTGGCGCCTGCCAGGTCGCCCTCGGACTTGTAGTCAGTCTCGCCCATGCTGCATGCTGCCAGCCACTGGTCCAGAGTCGCTTGCAGAGCCGCTTCCGCAGTGCGCTTGAACGCGCTGTCGGACATGGGTGGCCGAACGCGCTCGGCCGCCCGCTGCAGATGCAGCACCGCCCGAAGTTCGCGAATGTCTGCCTCCACGGTGTCCAAACGAGCTTCTTGACGCCGCTGGGCGTCTTCGAGCCTTGCAACTCGAACTCAACAAAAAACGAACGGCCGATGTCGGCACAGGCGTTGGCGACTCCGGTGGGCAATCCAGCGAGAGAAGAGGACATTGAGGACTGGGCCTGCTGCGCTGAAGCCAGGAGCTCAGCGCGGAAGGCGCCCAGCTCGCGATTGAGTTCATCGGCCGACACGGCAGGAGGAGGGCCGTCATCCACAGCATCTTGAAACTCGTCCTCGCCGCCTTCCCCCTGGCGCGCTTGCTGGGCGGCGCCGTTCCCGCGCTGGCCCTGGGGCCGAAGCTGGATCCACTCGAGCCGCGCGCCGCCATCTTCGCTGCAGGCGCAGAGTCTGCGCTGCAGCACCCGAAAGCAAGGTGGACAGACCACGGGAATGGAATCGGCGGGACGCTCCCCAAACGATCTGGGCCGATCGCTACGGATGGGTCCAAAGCTCATCGCTGGTTCTCGGGCCCCCGACCCTTCGCAACGTTTTGCCTTGAGCCAAAGTGGCTACGGACCTCCACCCCCTTCTTCTCCTCCCCATCCTCTTCCTCCTCCTACTCCTCCTCTTTCTCCATCCCCCTCCCCCCCCCCCCCGAATCACCGAATTCCCTCTTCCAATCGCCGCATCGCCAATGCCCTCTTTCCCGCACCGCATCGACAAGAGGATTCAACAGCAGGGCCGAGCATGGGCCAGAGGGCGACGGCAAAGGCCCGTCTTTTGAACTCCGAACTCAACCTTGAACGTCGTCGCCAGCGTCGCCGGTGGCGACGCATCGGCGCCGTCGAGCCGCATCGCCGATGCGCCGGCGACGGGGCACGATCCTCCGACCCCGTTGGCTGCAGACCCCAGCAAGGCGGGCGGAGGCGGCGCGCCATGCCCTCCCAGCCCGGGCAGCGCTTCGCGGCCCGGCGGCCCAAGTCCTCCACGCACCTCCAGGCGTGCCCCTGGTGCTGGCCTGGCGGTGCGAAATCTACAAGGATTGGGCGTGCCCCTGGTGCTGGCCTTGTAGATTTCGCGACTCGGTCCTGCTGCGCTGGACCGAGTCGCGAAATCTACAAAGATTGGGCACGGGTCGGATCGTCAACGAATCGCCCCTGATAAGAACGAAATCGAGTCGTCGCGCCCGGCTCCGGCTGGCCCTGGCCGATGCCAATGAATCAAGCCGAATCGGATCGAATCGGAATCGCGGACTCAGTTGGCGAATCGAATCGCATCGAGGCGGATCGTAGGCGGCGTGAGACGGGCCCGGATCAACAACGACACTCCGAGTTTCTTGATAAGCGTCGGGGGGGCGTCACCCCCGCCGAGAGCCCCTCATCGACCCCCGTTGCGGGCAGCCACCGCGCGCCGCAAGCGCTCCGACCCCCGTCTCGGCGCGACGACGCGGCGAGGCTGACCCTCGTCGCTTATCAATAAACCCAGGGCCTGAGTTGCTCAACACCGCAGCCTCCCCCTGGCCTGTGGCGAGCCTCCGGGCCCGGGGGCCCTCGAAACTGGATCTGTGGCGAAAGCCTGGCCCGGGGGCAGGGGTCGGGAGCACGGGGGCCGCGGACTGGGACAAACTCCACTGTGTGTGTGTACGTACAGTCGGACCTAGGCCAGAAGAACATCCCTCAAGAACATGAGACCCTTCGCCGGCCAAAACAAACAGAACATACGAGGGCACCCTCCCCAGGATACACAAGAGCATCCAACTAACACGAAGAACACGAGGGTACCCTTCCAGAACCGACCTCGATCTTATACCTCGGTCCGACCGTATGTTTTTCCACAGTGCGTGTTTTTTGCAGTGTTTGTGTGTGTGTGTTCCACAGAATCCGAGAGCAAAGACCGCAGCGTTGTCACGCGGGTCGGACGACCACATTCCAGCGCGCTGCTCGCGAAAAAAGGCAGGGCCTCTGCTAAGACAAGCGGATGGGTAACCCACACGTTTTGAGAGAGGCGGCGCGCGTGCCAGCCTGCGCTCAACAGACCGGCCGACTGGCAAAGGAAGGGAATACTGAAAAACAACTGCGTAGACACGCTCGTCCTCCTCATCACCATTCGCGCTTCATCGTTAGACTCCTCCTTTTCCTCCTCCTCATCATCACAATCCCTCATCGTCATCCTTCGCCTCTCCTCATCCTTCTCCTCATCCTCCTCCTCTTCCTTCTGCTGCTCCATCCTCCTCTTTGGACGCTCGAAATGGGCACGGAAACAATGGGCACAATGCCGATGAGCAAATGTTGTCCTGAACCAACAGCGGCCGCTGTTGGGCAGGCGGCCTTCTGTCTCAAATGTACACCTGCCGCGGCGACACCGACAGCGAGTCCTGTTCAAAATGAACAGGAAATGCTGTTGGGCATTGTACCCATTCTTTCCGTACCCATGTCGGTCGTCCCGATCCTCCTCCTGCACCGCATCCCCGATCGTGTATCACTGTCCTCCTCTTCCACGCTCATCTTCATCATTCGCCTCCACCTGCTCCTTTCCCAAATGACTCCTCCTCCTCTCGGCAAACAACCGCCTAATACCGGTCAATCCCTCCTCCTTTCCCTCCTTTCCCGGCCAACAAAAGACCAATACCAATCCCTACCCTGGCACACTTTACAAGCCGCGTCCAACCGCGGCGACGAACACCCCTCCGAATGCCAATATGACAAATGGATGTGCAGGTATAGTTTGGTGCCTCCATCCTTATATGAGTATATACAACATTGCCCGCCTGCCCCCTTGTGAGCCAACAGCCTGCGTTGACACGGATGTCTTGTTCCCAGCGCCAGTTCTAGTTCCCAAATTACAATTACATGTTGCGTCATCTGCATTGACATGGATACATCTGAAAATTAAATCGAAGCCCATGCACTAGTGGCGGCCTGGGGGCGTCGAAATCCCCATCCAATAGACTCTGAAAATGGGGCTGGAGCCACAGCAGGCGAGAGGGAGAGAGAAAGAGAAACAGAGAGACACAAAGAGAGATAGAAAGAGAGAGAGAATAATAAATAAGCGATCGTGCACGGCATAGGCACCCGAAGGTGAAGAGTTCGCGAGCGAATCACTTAATGAGATGAACACATCGCAAACATCGGGGACGCGTGTCCCACGGCGGCTGGACAAATTTGTACCCCGACGGTGGCACGTCGGGGAATAAACCGTTCTGTGCCCTTTCTTCGTATGTTGAGAACGGACGGGGAGGGGGGAGAGACGCGAGGAGAGAGGAGAGGAGAGGGGAGACGAGAGGAGAGGGGAGCGGGGAGCGGGGAGAGGAGAAGAGACCAGCTTGGTGCGCTCGCGCCACATCCGACATGCCCACCCCGCACACTCGTCCCTTCCCTTTGGCGCTGCGTGTCCTCTATCCGCCGACGGGTGTCACAATGGACCTGGACCCCACCGAATTACCCATCGTGTTACACGCAATCAGACGGCGGAGCCCTGCACATCGGAGGAGCAGCAGCAGCAGCAGTAGGAGAGGAGGATCACGAAGGAGGAGGAGCGGCAGCAGCAGGACCAGGACCAGGAAGAGCGGGAGGAGCAGGAGGACCAGGGGAAGGCGGAGGGGGGCGACAATAACGAGGACGGACTCGGATCCGGATATGTGGCCCGCGGCACAGTTTGGAACAATCAAAAACGTTCCGATCTAAACATGGCATCAAACTAAACAAAGTTTGGAATCCAGCGCGTGGAACAAAAAACGCGGGGAAGGAGGCCCTCTCGGGCATGATCATGACAACGAGTAGAGTGGTACTCAGGTTGAGTAGTTGTGGAGATGGGAGGAAAAGGAAAGAGAGGAGATACACTTAGGATAAACGAGGGAACAGAGGATAGAAGAGATGCGAGAGAGTGAGTGAGTGAGTGAGCGAGCATGTGAGAGAGAGAGAGAAAGATTAGAGAGAGGCCGTGCACGCCATGGACACCCGACTGTCAACAGACGCGGAGAACGTGAAAACCAGCAAGATAGGATTTGTTCACCCTTGGCCATAACGGACTGCACTGCGGGGGTGGGGAGGCTATCGCATTCTAGGGCGAGAACGGTTTTATAACACGATTGGCCCAAGATACGTGCCAGGAAATCTGGAGTGTCTCGCGGCCGTCGTCTCTGGGAACGGAACAACAGGACGTCTCCGCAATCCTGGACATTCTGGAACGCATCATCATCCGAAGGGATCGCAGCGCCCGTCATGGCCCAAGTCTTACCAAAACACGCGCTCGAGGACCCACGCCGGCAGTTTCCCGAAGCCCGGCAAGGGCAACCAAATGCCACACACACACACACACATCAAACATCTCCCTCCGTGAATCTTGGATGCTCGTTCTGGGGACCTTCCCGGAGCCACCCGCTCCACTCATGCATCGATGCTGCGTCGAGTGTCCACCGACTGTCGCACTCGAGCCGAGCTGAAACCACACTAGTTGGAGCCGAACTCGAGCCGAACCAAATTCGATCTGGATCTTTTGGGTGGGCCCAAGGCAGATCCCCAAACAACACATCTAATGCTTTTTCGGGCAACGGGAGGTGGCCGGCTCATCATGAAAAAGCCTACTCTTGTAAGCCTGGTGGGGCCAGAACCGAACCGGCCGAACCGGCCCGAAGGACCAGACCGAAACATTTCAAACTGCCGCCGCCGCCTAAACGGCTCGACCGCAGCCTGGTGCGGCCCGAACCGAACCGGCCCGAAAGACAAAATCGAAAACTTTCAGACTGAAACTGGCCCGACCGCCAAAAAACGGAACGCCGCTGAACTGGCCCGAACCGACCCGAACGACCCCTCTCTGCTCAGGGGGAGGGCCCGCGGTGGCGAGGGCGCGCAGGCGGCCGAATAGGACGTAGTCCCCCCAGCTGAGGTTCAGCACCTCGCGCGCTCCGCGCCGCGGCATTTGTTTGCTTTAATTGTTTTGGCTGCTAGGAGAGAAAGAGAGAGAGAGAGAGAGAGAGAGAGAGACAAACAACAACAAAAAACAACGCAAAAAACGAAAGGAGAGGGCGCACCATTCAGATTGCCGATCCAATCGTCAGTACGCACCGTGGGAATCTGGAGCGCAATACGAATTGAACCATCAAACGTATCGGCGCCGCGGCGAAATTGGAAGGTGCGCCGCTGGATCTCCCCAAGGGGGGGGGGGTAGGAACCCCCTCCCCCCCCTCCCCCCCTCCCCGATCCGTCGTGGGGGACCCCCCCCCTTTTCCCCGATCCGTCGTCGGGAACCCCCCCCCCTCGCCCCCTTTCCCCGACCCGTCGTCGGGGACCCCTCCCCCCCCTCCCCCCCTTTCAAAAAGGGGGAGGGTCCGCCTCCCCCCCGTTCGCCACGCCGCCCCCTGACGCCGGAACCCGACCCCCGCCACCCCTACCCCTAGTCCTCACCCTATACACAACCCCTAATCCTAACCCTAACCACTAACCCCAGCCCCAAAAAGTACTCACTACTCATTACTCACTACCCACTACTGCCTACTCGCTATTCGCTACTCACTTCTCACTACCCCATACTCACTACTCACTACTCACTACTCACCATCCACTACTCACTACCCACCACCCACTACTCGCTACTAACTACTCCCTACTCACTACTCCCTCCTGCCTACTCACTACTCACTCCTCACTACCCACTACTCAATACTCACTACTCACTAAGCACTACCCACTCCTCTCTATCCACTACTCAGTAATCACTACTCATTACCCACTACCCACTATCCACTTCTCACTACTCACTACTAAATACTCCTTGCCGATAAATCACCACTCACTACCCACTACTCGCTACTCCCTACACAATACTGGTTCCACAGTACTCAGCACTCGCTACTCGCTACTCCCATACTCTCTACTCAATACTCACTACTCACTCCCCGCTACTCACTATCCACAACTCACTACTTACTACTCCCTACTCACTAGTCACTCATTAGCTTCTAGCCACTAGTCACAACTCACTAGTCACTAGTCACTGGTCACTACTCACTACCCACCAATCGCTACTCACTACCCACTATTCGCTACCCACTTCTTACTACTCACTGCTCACTACTCCCTACTCCCTACTCCCTACTCACTACTCACTACTCGCTACTCCCTACTCGTTACTCACTATTCACTACCCACTACTCACTACTGACTACTCTCTACTCACTACGCCCTACTCGCTCCTCACTACTCACTACTCGCTACTCCCTACTCGCTACGCACTACTGGCAACCCACTGCCACTACCCACTACTTTCTACTCATCACTACTCACTACTCACTACGCACTACGTACTACTCAGTACTCACTACTCAATTCTCACTACTCACTACTCACTACTCGCTACTGAGTACTCACTACTCACTACTCACTACTCACGACTCACTACTCACTACCCACTACGCACCACCCACAACTCACTACTCACTAATCACTACTCGTAACCCACTACGCACTACCCACTACTCACTACCCACTACTCATTACTCCCTACTCCCTACTCAGTACTCACTACTCGCTACTCGCTACTCACTACTCACTACTCACTACTCGCCACTCACTACTCACTTATCAGTACACACTACTCACTATTCACTATTCACTACCCCGCACTCCCTACTCCCTATTCCCTACTCGCCACTCACTACCCACTACTCACTACCCTATACTCACTACTCACTACTACTCACTACTACTCACTACCCAATACTCACTACTCACTACGCACTAACTCACTACTCACTACTCACAAATCCATACTCCCAACTCCGTACTCCCTACACTAGGGGGGGAGTCCGACCCCCCCCCCCTTTTCCAGCGCCAAGGGGGGGAGGGGTGGGGGTTCCGGACCCCCCCCCCCTTCAAGGGAAGGGGGGGGGTCGGGACCCCCCCCCCTTAAGGGGGGAGGGGGGGGGTCCGGACCCGCCCCCCCCCTTGAAGGAGGGAGGGGGGGGGGGTTCTGGACCCCCCCCCCTTTAGTGTATTCAGGAGATCCACTGGCGCACTTTCGCAAAATTGGGTGCGGCCCCCGACCGGATCGGCCGCCGTTCTGGAAGCCTCATCTGGAGTCCGGCCCCTCCCACCCTCCCCCAACTCCTCATCCTCCTCTGCCTGCTGCCGCTCGCTGCCTGCTCGCTGCTGAGGGTGAACGGCACAGGGGGACTGGCTCAGGGAAGAACCATCGACCTTTGAATTGGCGATACATCGCCGATGAATCGGCGTGGGGCATCCTACAGCGACACCGCACGTTCCCGGGCAGGGTGGGCTGCCAGGCCCCTGTCGGCGATGAGTGGGATCTGTGCACGCCCCACGGAGCCTACCCCCCCCTTTATTGTTGCCCCCGAGCTCCTCCCCGGACCTCCTTTCGTTTTTCGGGCGAAAGTGGTATTATGATGCAGTCGGAACACGAGACCTCCCAGGAATTCTGGAGAATCTAGCGGCCCTCTTTTCTGGAGCCCGCGTGGAACAAGAGGACATTTGGACACACTGGAACGTCTCATCATGATACTCATCATCATCATCATCATCATCATCATCATCATCATCATCAACAACAGCACCATCATCATCAGCAGCATCATCATCACCATCATCATCAGAATCATCACCATCATCATCACCATCATCATCATCACCAGCACCAGCACCAGCACCAGCACCAGCGCCATCGCCATCGCCATCACCATCACCATCACCATCACCATCACCATCACCATCATCATCATCATCATCATCATCATCATCATCATCATCATCATAATTCATCATCATCATCATCATCGTTTTCATCGGAACAACATGATCAGCAACACCATCATCACCATCATCACTACCACCATCATCATCATCATTATCATCATCATCATACTAAGCATTAGCATCAACAGTATCATCATAATCATCATCGGCAGCATCAGCATCAGCTTCAGCATTATCAGCATCAGCATAATCAGCATAATCAGCATCATCATCAGCATCATCATCATCAACATCCTATCAGCATCAGCATCAGCATCATCAGCATGGCCACCATCACCACTACCACCACCTTCATCAGCAGCAGCACCATCAGCCTCATCATAATGGCCATCATCATGACCTAATGCTGCTCTGAGTATTGAACAAAACACTCTACTCATGTTGTTCTTGCTCATGTTTGGTCCTCTTCTGAAGGGCCTTTGCCGCGCCTGTCATAGTCTCCGAGGGCCTCCGACTGCCGATAGCCTCAAGACTCAAGACGCAGCCAGTCCCTGAGAAAAAATGCAACATCGTGAAACAACTCGTCAAGATCTCTGGACCCTATCGTTCTGTAGCATTTCTCGAGCCGGTTCCATCCCTGAGGGCCCCGGACCCCGAAGCATGGCAAAATCGCCCCTTGCGAGAACATTGCGACGCCAGGATCTCAGGGTCCCCAGGAACCGAGAGCTTGGGCACACGCTACCATGGATTAGGGATCCGTGGATCACCGATCGTGAACGCAATCCCCGGAACATGGCGCCAACGCCGCCTGATTTAGCGACGGAGTGCGCCGAATTGGCATGGATACGGGACCCGTCGCCAATCCACGCGCCTTACTCCATGTCTGCGCTTCCTCGGAGTACACCGATATCCACCGCATGCCGATGTCCCACAAGATCGATCCCCCAGGCGGTAGCTATGGATAGTGAAATCCCCGCCTCGCATCCTCCTCCTCCCTCCTCCCCGTGCCCCAGGGAGCGGATCGCCTCGAGCCTGCGATGGCAGCCGAGAGTGGTCAATCTGTTGGCATGAAGGAAACAAGTCCTGCGGAAACCGGGTCCTGGACCCCAGGGTCCAGAGCCTTCCCCTGGGACGATTTTTTTAGCCTTCTAGTCGTTCTCTCGCAGTTCCAGGGCCCCTGGAGGGCCCCAGAGAGTCAACGACGGCGACAAACCTCAGGACCCCGCTTCCCTCAGGACCCGCTTCCTTCATGGCGAATGTGGACCCCCAAGGCTGCTGATAGCCTCAAGACGACGCCAGTGGCCGCGCGGCCGAGTTGCGGGCGCTGGCCGCGGGAGGACGCGGTCCGCCTCCAGCCAGAACCGCATTTTCAGCGCCGCGCTCTGAGAGTTGAGGCTGAGCGCGGCCGCGTCCAAGCACCCCGCGCCGGTGAGGGCCTCGCGGTCGGCGTCGCCGCCGCCGTCGGCGGCGTCAGCGGCGTCGCCGTCGACTTGGGGCCCCTCTGGGTCGACCTGGGGTTCGGAGAGTCGACCCTCGAACATCGCAACGACGGCTCCGGTCATTTGATGTTTTGTGCCACGGCGCTGGGCGTCGGGGGCGGTCCAAAGAGGTGCCCCCGAGGGATGGGGCTCTCAGGACGATGGGCCTAAAATATTGTAGCTTCAACCTGGGGTCCAATCCGATCCTTGGGGCCCCATCCCTCACGGTCCCATCCTTGAAATGCCGATCCTCCCTGTGTTTTGTTTTGCACGTCCGGCCACCCCTGGCGTTCTGACGCCGCTCGAGCCGCTCTTACAGCAAGTCACAAGTCCTGAACGAAGCTCCGCCCCTCCCGCGCGGCCCCCACTGTCGGTCCGCCCCCCGCCTTCCGTGGGGATGGTGCGCTGTGTTTTTTGTTAGCCCGCTGGCCTGGAGGCTCGAAAACAAACCCGTGGGGATAGAACAATATCAAAAACAATAAACATAACACTGCGGAGCTCCAAGCGGATTTCCTGGATCGGCACTGGACCCCCCTCCCTGGCGCGCCGGAAGCAGCGCGCTCAGCGCCGATCCTAGAAGTCCGCGCAGAGCTCCAGAAGCTTATGATTATGCAGCTGATCTTCTTCGGTGGGAGGCGTGCGTAACCTTGGCTCCATCTTCGACGGTCGTCACATCTTCATCCTCCTCCTCCTCCTCCACCTGCTCCTCGCCGTCATGATATCATCCTCCTCCTCCTCCTTCCCTTCTCCTCTTCCTCCTGGCGGAACAGTCTGTGTGCCCGCCCACTCTCTCCCTGAACTCATCGGGGACCTTCAGGATGGCGCAGGCCAGCGCGACGACCCCGAAGCCGACCTGGCCAGCCCAGCGCCGGTCGCCCGCTGGCGCGCTCCGCGGCCAGCCGGGCCGCCCCCGCCGCCCGGCCCTCACCGCCCACGGCTGTGCTGAGCTCCCGGGCGGTGGCCCGGTGGAGCGCCGCGCTGAGCTCGGCGCCCCACCGCCGAGCCAGCGCGCCGGCGGCCGCAGAAGCAGAGGGGCCATCGCCGAGGCCCTCCCTGCGTCTGGTCCCGCGCCAGCCAGCACAGCTGCTGGAGCGCTGCCTTGCCGTGGCGGCCGCCGGTCTCCAGCGCCAGCGGCAGGGGTGGCCAAGGCGCGCGGCCCGCCGGGTGGCGGCGCCGCTTGTCTGCCTCGGCGTCGGCGTCAACGGCGCCGTCGCCGTCCGCCGCGGCCGCCAAGGCGCGCTCGCCCCGGGGGCGCTGTAGCGAACGGTCACGTCCGCGCACAGCCGTGGGCAGCCCCCGCGCTGCGCTTCCAGGTCGAAAAGCGACTCCTCCCGCTCGACCTGAAGCGCCGCTCCGCAGGCAGTGCAAGGCCCAGGCGGGGGCGGGGGCGCGTCCGCCGCGCCACGGCCCGCGCAGGCGGGGGCGGAGCAGCGCCAGTGTCATCGGTCCCAAACGGGGACGGGCACTTGTCGGGCCGTGCGGAATCCGCATTCCAAGAAGACGCGCCCCCCCGCGCCCTCGACCTCCCTGCCCCGCGCCTTCGGGCCGCCCCCGCAAGAGCAGCGGTAGCCGTGGCGCGCCTTGCGGCGGAGCGGCTGCCCGCAGAGTTGCCCCGCCCTTGGGCGGGTCCTGAGGCGGTCGCAGCAGCGGGCCCCGGCCGGCGCGCTGTCCTGGTCGAGCAGCGCCCGCGCAGTGGCGCAGCAGGCGTCGCCCTCGAGCCTCTGGCGCGGGCCGCCGTTGGCCAGCTGCCAGCCCGCCGCGTGGAGCCCCCCGCAGGGGCGCAGGGGTGCTCGTTCTTCAGCTCCGATGGCGCTCAGCAAGGCTTCGCGGTTGCTTCTGTCTAGCCTTTGCATGGGCACCTTTTGGAGCTGCTGTCGAGGTTCCTGCGCGAGCAGCCCCCAGAGCGGCAGCTGCAGGCGTCTCTCCTCCTCCTCCTCAGGCAGCAGTTCGGCCAGTGCCGCCCGGCAAGCAGCCGCCAGGGGCAGCTGGGCGGTTTCCAAATCAGCCAGCTCTTCCAAGCCTGTCCGAGCCCGGGCCCCCGCCGGGCTCTGCGCCCAGGAGGCCGCCCGCGCCGCGGGCGCCAGCGCCGCTTGGCTCCGGTGGCCCCGGCCGCCCAGTCGCAGCGGCAGGCGACGCTGCGCCCGCCGTGCGGCTTGCAGGGGGTCCAGGCGCGCGAGCTCCTCGTAGGCCTTGAAGACGGCCCTGTCGCGGGCGGTCGCGGCTGCCCAGGGGTGTCGGAAGCGGAGCTGGTGCGCGGGCTTGCCTGCGCCGCAAAGCCGCGGCAGGGGCCCCGCCGCCAGGGCCGCCGGGAGGCGGGGCGAAGGCAGCGCGGGTAGCTGGGCGAGCTTCCGGAGCAGCGCCGCAACCCTCTCCGCTGTCTCGGCGCAGCGCGCTGCCGCGTAGCCTGCGCAGCCGAGGTCCAGCCGGCGCCCGTCGCTCTCGTCCGGCATATTGCCCGCCGGCAGCGGCCCCCCCAGCGGGGCGCCCAGCAGGGCGAGGCCGTCGCGGCGCCAGCGCGTCTCTAGCCCCGGCGGGCAGGCCGCCAACGCAGACCACGCCTGCGTCATCTGCGGCTGCAGCTCTAGTCCGAGGGCGCCGAGCGCGGCTTGCGCGGTCGTCTCGACCGCGGCGGCGAGTTCGGCGGGCGCCAGCACGATGACGTCGTCGAGGTAAGCCAGGGCGTGGACATCCGCAGCGCGAAGCCCCCGCGCGGCCGCGTCCCCCCGCAGCGCCCCCTCGAGCTCCCGCAAGCCTGGCCGAGCTCCGCAGGCGTAGAACAGCGGCGTCTGTCCACGCCGTCTGCGGGGCGCAGGCGGTGGCAGCCCCCGCGGTTGTCCCAAAAGTAATACAGAGAGTGCCGGCAGAAGAACAAACTTGCAAAGCGCAAAAGTTCAGGCGCCGTGGCCCCCAATTCCGAGGCAGTTCTCCCTGTTTACAATGCCGTAAGCGTTTTTGGCGTCTGGGGCCGTGAAGACCAACTCTGGTTCGGCCTCCGTGAGCGCCCTCACTGCGTGCGCCAAGAGCTCCGCGCCCGCCTTCGTGCCGATTGCGTACTGTTGCCTCCCCAGTGCAGCCGCCAGTTCTTCTTTGCGCGGCGCCGCTAAGGCCCTCCCCGCCAGGCGGCGGAGTATGTTGGGGGCAGCGATAGGGCGCACGCCGCCGCCGGGCGTGTGGAGCGGGGCGAGCCTGGAGAGCGCCAGTGCGTCGGCCGCGTCGGCGGGTAGGTCCACCTTTGCGAGGCGGTCGCAGAGGTTGCAGGAGGCAGGCATGGCGGCGGGCTCTGTCAGCACCACCCGCCAGTGCTCGAAACGGCCGCCGCCGACCGCAGCGCCGCTCCCCTTTGGGCTCCTCTGCAGCGCTTTCCGCAGATTTGAATGCGAGAGGGTCGAGGCGGCGGCTGGGTCGCCTCGCGCATCGCGCTCGAAGGCAGGCCTGCCGCGGGGCCAGAGCAGGTTCTGCAGCGCCGTCGCCGTCTCTGGTGTGAATGGCGCCAAGCCCGGGCTGGCCAGAAGCGCCGCTGCGCGCGAGCACTCCTCTGCAAGGGTCTTCCGAACCACTTCGTCCGCCAGGTTGGTGTCGGCCCTCGCGCGGCTGCCGTCGGCTTCCCGCCGCGCCCGCGCCAGGTTCTGGCCCGCGGCGCGTACCTCTTCCAGAAGCTCCCCCCGCGCTCCTCGGCGCAGCTGGGAACATCTCTGGCGCACCCGGACCGCGGGTTCGTTTCCCGGCTGGCGTCAACCCCCGCGGCGCACTGGGGCTGCGAAAAACAACCTTTCTCTGAGGAGGATGAGCTTCCAAGCCCTCTCCTCCTCCGCACTGCCCCTCGGCGCCCGGAGCGCGGCCTTGCAGAGAAGCTCCGTGGTCTGCGCTGCTGCCGCCCTCGCGCCGCCCGGGACGTAGCGGAACTCTCTTCCGCCAGCTCGTCGAGTAAGTTGAGCGTGTCAAGTCCTGCCCAGCAGTCCGCCCCGAGGTCTTCGAGCGGCTGCCTCGGCGGCGCCGCCGTTTGCCCCGCCCCCCTCCCCGCTGCCGGGGCCAGTGGCGCGCTGCCCGGCGGCGGCGGCGCCGGCGCCAGCCAGCCGCCAGGGGTCTGGGCGGCAGCTGCTACGCCTGCCGGCAGGGGCGGGCCGGGCAGGCTGCCTGGCGCCGCAGCCGCAGGCGCTCACCTCCTCCTCCGCCTCCGCCTCCGCCTCCTCCTCCTCCTCCTCCTCCTCCTCCTCCTCCTCCTCCTCCTCTCCTCCTCCTCCTCCTCCTCCTCCATCCCTCCTCCCCCCGACGCTGCCCCTGCAGGGCAGAGGCGTGCAACCTCGCACAAGCTGGCGGCGCCGCCGCGCCGCCGCGGCGCGAGCCTTCCGCTCGCCGGCCGCTCAGCGCCTCCTGGCTTCGGGGGTGCCCGCCTGGCTCCAGCGCGCGCCCAAGAGGTGCGAGAAGCGGCGGCAGCCGTGCGCAGCGAGGGAGGGGGTCGATCGGGCTCAGGAGCGGATGGACGTCAGGTTGGAGCACAAGGCCTCCTCACCCTCCGCCATCTATTTCCCTTATACATAACTCCTCCCTGTCGCACCCCGAGACGTGTCGGGTAGGGCGGGCCGGGCGTTTCGCCTGAGACTTCCTCACCATGTATGATGCTTCAGATGAGAAAGCGCAGCAGTTTTACGTATGGAGGGCGGGTCGTTTTCAAAATGTGTGTCTCGACTTAGCGCCGCGCACATTCGCCATACAAGTCTGTCAACGTGCCCGCCAGTTAGAATGCGTTGTGCTATCTGAGAGGTTTCTTTCAGATTCTAGGGCCGACCAAACCCCTACTCGCACGCATGCCTAAATCACGGCCCCCCCTGAAATTTCATTCCAGCGCTCTGTTCGGCCTCGAGACGGCCAAGATGGCCTCCAAAACGGCTTCGAAGACAGCCAAGACGACATCAAAACGGCCCAGGATGGCCCAAGACAGCTCAAGAGCTTTTCAAGAGAGCCTCAAGACGGCTCAAGGTAGTACAAGAGGGCCTCAAGACGGCCCCAGAGGCCCCCCAGACGGCCCGCGAGAGCTCCAAGAGGCCTTCCTGAGAGTCCGAGGGGGCCTAAACCTATGGTTGTCCGTAGGGTGTTGAATGTTTGTTGAGGTTCTCGCCATTTCGGATTTCCGACCACCCAAGACAGCGAAAGAGGCCTCCAACATAGCTCCAAGACAGCCCAAGAGGCCCTCAAGGGGATCCCAAGTCGGCTTCAGAGGACCCAGTGATCGTCCAAGGGGCTCCCAAAGAGGGCTCCAAGATGGCCTTGAAGCGCTCCAAGACAACAAGACGGCCCAAAGGGGCCTCTTGGGTTGTCTTGGGCGGTCGAACCCCACACATGCCAGAACCTCAAATCCTTTATGACGGGGTCAATGGTTCTGGCCTCCTCGGGCTCTCCTGGAAGGCATCTTGGAGACCTCTGAGGGCGTCCTGGAGGCCTCGTGATCTGTCTTGAGGCTTTCTTGGGAGCCTCATAGCCGCCACGACGGCTTTCAAGGCAGCCAAGATGACGCCAAGATGACACCAAGGCGGCCCAAGACGGCTCAAGAGGCTCCCAAGACAGCCTCAAGCCATGTCAAAAAGCCCCCCAGACTGCCCGAGAGATCTCCAAGAGGTCTTCCTGGAGAGCCCGAGGCCAACAACATTGAGTTTCCTTCGGTTTCTGAAGGATTGTGAAGCCTCACCTGTTCGGGCTTCCGACTGCCCAAGACGGCCGAGAAGCCTCCAAGAGGCCTCCAAGATATGTGTGTTGTGTGTGTGTGTGTGTTGTTTACCTCCACGGCTTCACCACATCAGCCAAACAGGCGACCCATTACAGCATCTGTGGGAAATGCTGTAAGCAAAATGCACCGAGCAGCAGGTGCAAAACGTTGGACGGCCTCGCCTCGGCGAGCGCCGCTTCGGGGAGGGGGCTTCGCGAGTTCCTTTCGGAGCGCCCACTAAGAGGCCTCCAAGATAGCTCCAAAACAGCTCAAAGAGGCCCCCCAGAGGGCCCCAAGTCGGCCCAAGAGGACCACATATCGCCCAAAAGGCTCCCAAGAGGGCCCCAAGACGGCCGTGGGCCACCCCAACAAGGCACCAACGCGGCCTTGAGAGGTTCCAAAGGCGGCCTCCATGGGCGTCATACGGGCCAGGTGTCCCCCAAGACGGCCCAAGAGGCCCCAAGAGGCACACAAGAGGCCCCCAATGGGCTCCCATGAGGCCCCCAAGATGCTCCCAAGAAGCTTTCAGCAAGCGCCCAGGAGGCCCCCAGGAAGCCCCTAGGAGACACCAAGACGTTTTCTCCTCCTCATCCTCGTTGTCCCACTCCTCCTCCTCCTCCTCCTCCTCCTCCTCCTCCTCCTCCTCATCATCATCATCATCATCCTTCTCCTCCTCCTCCTCCTGTTCCGCCTCCCTACCCTGCGGGCAAAGACGTTGTCGGGATCACGACCCGCCCCAAGCGTTGTTCCTACGTTCAGCCTCCTTCCTGCTGCGCTGTTGCCCAGGCACGGTGGCGAGGCTTGTCGCAGGCAACTGGATTTGGAAGAGCGTCACGGATGGAGGGCGGTACCTGTTTTCAAACTGTGGCTCTCGCCTTACCGCCGCGCACACATTCGTTTTAAACCGTTGCAAGAGTTCCGCTGCACCTTTTCAACATGTGGCGCATGCCATAGCTCCACGCACATTCGGTTTAAGAGATGACAGCAGGTTCAAGAACTAGTAGGATTAACGCTCCAGAGAGGGTGTTCTGGCACGGTACAGGGACTGTCAAGGCGCAACAATTAGGTCGATTCGCAGTGTTGAAGCCCCCCGACATGGTGTTCTGTCACGATTCAGGATCGTCAGAACGCAAGAGTCATGTTGATTCTCGGCGTTGAAGTCCAAGAAATGATGTTCTGGCACTGTCAAGGATTTTCAGACGGTTCTCTTCCGACGGGGCACCTCCCTCAATGAAAATGCATCCTTGCAGTGGCCTCCGAAGAGAGAACTTAGAGGGAGGGTTGATTGCAACATCGGTGATGAGCCTTGGGTTTACACTGGTCCTCCTCCTCCTCCTCCTCCTCGCCGTCGTGGGCTCCTCCTGTTCCTCCTCGCCGTCCTGACCCCCTCCTCCGCCTCCTCCTCCTCCTTCTCCTCCTCGTCGTCATGACATCATGATTCACCTACTCCTCGCCGTCCTGACATCCTCCTCCTTGCAGAGTCCTGACCTCTCAGGGGCACCTTCCAGCGCCCTCCCTCCCGCCTCCCGACCCCCCCCCCTCCCCCGCCCCTCCTCCAGCACCTCCCCGTGCCCCTCGGCGGCCCTCGACGGCCTCCGCTGCGCGCGGGGGGAGGGCGCGGGGGGCCGTCAGCTTGCTGAGGCTCTCCCACCGGGGGCTCCTCGGTCGGTCCGCGGAGCCCGCGGCGCGTCGGGTGCTTCCCAAGCGTGGCAAAAAGATAGGGCGGCAACGATTGTGAGGCAACTCCTGGGAGGTCTTCGTATGAGCGATCAAGGCGGCTCAGACTGCAGATTTGCCCGGACTGGCAGAATTCAGCTCGAATGAGCCAGTAGGGAGGATTAGGCGGGACTAAGCGGGACTATGCCAGATTGGGCTGGTTTCCGGCCACGAATGTACGAGCGCAAGTGCTAGATCTGACCTCTGAGGAGTTGCACCCTGACCTCTGAGGGTGTGAACAACAAGTCATGCCTTCGAAGTCTGAGCGAAGCGGGGCGTGGAAGATACTGCAGGCAGTAATCAGATATAATCTTCGCAGCAGGCGCTGAACAACACAACAATGTGCGCGTTCGTCTCGATGATGTTCCACACTGGGGGGAGACCAGGAGGTGTCCCAAGGCAGCGGTTTTGTGTTCACCTCTAGTCGCGATCGGCTTCCGATTGCCCCTAGGACGAGCCCAAGACGAACAGTGTCCACGAGTGTTGCCCAACACTTGATCAGGCACTGGTTGTCACAGTATTCCTAAAAGTAGGCCTAGCACGGGATTTCATGAGAACGATGCGAATTACTAGGAGAAAACAATGTTCTCAGTACAGCTGCCCACGTCTTAACAAAGTACTGTTTCAGCCAAGACCCATGACATCCCATACACATCGCAGAAGACTCTGACATTTCTTGGTGGTCCTGTAAGCAGATCGGATCGCTGGGTCCATGCCTGCCACGCGCGGGGACCAAACCATAATCACTGGCACGCTGCCGTGGTGTGGAGAAACCACCAGGCCTTTGGACAAACACGAACCAGTAACACGTTGACGGGCTCCCAACCGGGTTTCGTGCCATGGACGCTCCCCAGACATCTGACCTTTTCGCTTTCACAGCACGTTGCTCTCCAGAGGTCTATGGGCCCCTTCCCCAGGGCTGGCCTGTCATCCCGAGTCGTTATTGACGATCCTGGGGCCGGGCCAGGGCTCCCAGAGGCCGAGAACAACAGGCCGAACCTTCCCGCCGTGATGTGTCCCAACGGCGGCGCGTCACTGATACCATCTTCCCCCCCCAAATGCGCGGCAGGAGGACGGGGCGAGAGCGGCAGGCCGAGTACGGCTTCGGGTGCCGCTGGGAGGGGGCCTCCCGGCTGGCCTCAACACCCCAAACCTGGGGCGCGGAGCGCCACGGGGGCGCCGCCAGAGCGGGCACCCGGGGTGTGGAGACCGCCCCCCCCCCAGCCCGGACGCGGGGCCGATTGCAAAGGACACGCGACAGGACACAGCGCTCTCCCGACGGTGACGTGGCCTCCGAAAGCCACAGGGCACCAGGGTACCCTTGCCCCGCGAAGGCAGACTGCACGACACACAGGACAGAAGGGTGCCCGTGGCTTGGCAGGCCCGACCTACCAGTCAACACCGCCTGTACCCGGGAGGGCTGCCTGTGAGCAGCACGGAGCCCTGCCGAGCACGCGGCGGCAGGCGAGGGCGGGCCGCAGCTCCTGCAGTAGCCGAGCTTGCCGCTGCCCAAGTGCAGGCTGCTGAACCTCAACCGGCTGGCACGCAGGCGACGGGCCACTGATGCGGGCTGCCAGAGATCCGCGCTCACGCACAGAATGAGATCGGCCAGGTCGCCCGATTTGTTGTACCCTCCCCCCTCGCCCCCGCAACGCGAAAAAAACACGGACGTTGTTGTTACTCTGTTTGGCCTCTGGGGGCCCTTGTTGGACCCGGGACCGTCAGCAAAACTATCCAGGATGAAAAGACACTCCCGGCGAATGGGTCGATACCTCCAGACGGTCCGCGTTGTCGCACCTGGCAAGGTGGCTCTTCAAATCGGGGAAGCCCTGCAACATCGCCACCGCGAGAGATACATTGGGCGAAAGCCGGGCAACGATTATCGGCATCGGCATCGGAGGAGGAATACTGAGTCTTCTTCGCAGGCGGGGCGATGTGGACAACACTCGCATTTCTGATGCAGGACAGCTGGAGGCGACTCGGCGCAGATGCTGGGCTTCAGGCCGCCGCGCCCCGATGCCTGCACGGCAGGGTTCCTACAGTAAAACCCAAAACAAGGCCACAACAAATGCAACTAACCCCCAAACAAAGCCACAACGAATACAATGAATTCTCGACGAGCCACCACTAAAACAACTAATGCCCCGCGGGGCGACAACTAAAACAACGAATGCCAGTGGGGCCACAACAAATTTAACGAAAACCCAGCGGGCCGCAACTACTAATACAACCACTACCCCATGAAATGGAGGATGGGGGGAACACGCTTGCAACTAATAGCATAACTTGAACTGTTCAGTCATGGAGAGGGTCCTCGTGGTGATGTGGTGTCGTCGCTTTTCGACGTCCTGCTCGATGGGCCTCCAATTTCCAGCTTTGGGAGGCATCTCTGGGAGGGGGAGCGATCGGGGGGGGGGGGGGGGAGGGAGACTGTCTCTGAGGGGGGGGGAGGAACATTGAGTTGGACGGCGACACATCGCGGATAGCTCGGCGATAGGCCCCCGATGGCGAATCCTCACGTTCCTGGGCGGAGCGGGCCATCGGGCCCGTATCGCGATCAATGGGCGACTGGGGTCCGATGCATCCTCTCATGAACCCATCCCCCGCGAACGTTGTCCCTGACCTCCCGCCGCCTGAGGCCCGTGGTGGTGATCCTCGTCCCTCCCAAAAGCGGCGGGGAAAAAATCACCAGCACCACAATCGTCAAGAGGCAGGAGAGGGTCCTCGTGGTGATGTGGTGTCGCTGCTTTTCGACGTCTTGCTCGATTGGCTTCCAGTCTCCAGCTCTGCGAGTCACCTCAGAGGAGCAACGAAGCGGGACTGGCTCCGAGGGAACCATCGAATTATAATCGGCGATGCATCGCCGATAGATCGGCGAGAGGCCCTCGGTACGGACAACCGCAAGTTCTTCGGTGGGGTTGGCTATCAGGCCCCTGTCGGCAATGCGTTCGCTCGGACGTCCATTTCGCGTGCATTGTTCGGTGTCGTGCGTGTTCTCGCCGAGAACAAAGTGCACACGCCCGAGCGATGCCAGGTGGGCGACTGCGGGTCGACGAGCCCCCCCCCCTTAGCCTCTCCTTCCCTAACGTTGCCTTCTGAGCATCGCCTGCCTCCTCGCCAGGGGTGGCCCCCGTGATGCCGCTGGCAGAACTGTTCGAGCCTCCCCTCCAGAAGTCTCCCCAAAAGACTTCGTCCACTAAAGACCTGGGTCCTCCTCGTCGCCTTCGCAGATCCGAACGGATAGATAGGAGACCCGGTCGGAGTCATTCGCAAGCACAGCCGCCTCCTCCTCCTCCTCCTCCTCCTCCTCCTCCTCCTCCTCCCACTTTTCCTCATCCTGTCAATGTAGACAGTAGACAGGCATGTTTGAGGCCACAGTTTGGTGCGATTTTGCAAGTGAGCTGTAGGCCCTAATGCGGCTCATGCTCAGGGGCCAGCTGGCGATTCGGTGGGAGGCGGCACCCGCCTGGCAGTGGCGAGCTCGATTCGCACCTTCGAGGAGGACCGAACCTCCTCCTCCTCCTCCTCCTCCTCCTCCTCCTCCTCCTCCTCCTCCCTGCAGACCGATGCCGAGGCTCCACCAGGCTGGCGCCGAAACTTCCCTCTGCGTCCACCCCCAGACCTCCGGGCGCCGAGAGAAACGCATATGCAAACGTAGACGTATATACATCGAGATACATAGGTATAGTTTATGTATATATATATATCCATATATATATGTATGTGCGTGTATTCCTCTTCTTATATTTTTGCAAGCCCAGGGGGGGGGGGGAAACCCTCCCCCCCCCAATAAAAAAACTGGGCCCCCGGGATCTGGGGTTCTCGGGCTGCCTTGGACGCCCTTGGAAAGGTCACCCGGCTTTCCGGGTCAAACGCCTTGCCAGCAGACCCAGAGCGATCCGAGGGGTCATCAGAAAGGCTCAAGGGAGGCCCCAGACAGACAGCACAGGAGCGCTCCAAGAGGGACTCCAATTGCGTCAGGACGGCCCAAAAGACCCCAAGGCACCCCAAAAAGCTTTCCAAGGGGCCTTCAAAGCACATCAATCGTCCCATTCCCCTCGTGAAACTTACTATTTGTGCATATACGCCTTTCGGATTTCATCAGCTTTCAAGACGGTTTCAAAGCTCCCAAGATCGCCTCCAGACGCCCCAAAAGGCCCCCAAGAAAGCTTCAAGACGGCCGAGCCGGGCCCCACGATCGCCCACGAGAGCCCCAAGACAGCCCATAATGGAACCAAGAGGCCCCCCAAGGGCTCCGAGCACAGACCCAAAAGGGCCATGGGAGGTCCCCGGAAGTACCCAAGATGGGTCCAAAGGGGGCTCCAGCGGGCCCAAGCTCCCCAAGACGGCCCAAGAAGGATCCAGGACGGCCCATGAAGGCGTCAAAACGGCCCACGAGGGCCCCGAAAACACCCCCACGATGTTTCCGAATGCCAACATAAAAATCCCCAAGGCACCCCAAAAAGCTTCTCAAGGGGCCTTCAAAACCCAACAATCGTCCCATTCCCTTCGTGAAACTTACAATTTTAGCATATTCGTCTTTCGGATTTCATCAGCTTTCAAGACGGTTTCAAAGCCCCCGAGATCGCCTCCAGACGCCCCAAAAGGCCCCCAAGAAAGAAGCTTCAAGACGGCCGAGCCGGGCCCCGCGATCGCCCACGAGAGCCCCAAGACAGCCCATAATGGAACCTAGAGGCCCCCCAAGGGCTCCCATCACAGACCCAAAAGGGCCATGGGAGGTCCCCGGAAGTGCCCAAGATGGGTCCAAAGGGGGCTCCAGCGGGCCCAAGCTCCCCAAGACGGCCCAAGAAGGCCCCAGGACGGCCCATGAAGGCGCCAAAACGGCCCACGAGGGCCCCGAAAACACCCCCACGATGTTCCCGAATGCCAACATTCATGTTTATGACATTTCACATTGTGACCCAGTCATTGAGGGTCCCTTGGCATGCAGCGAAGATGCCTGAGGATGCCCCGTACGAGTTGCATAAACATGTTCATACCCTTACACACATAAACTCATATGTACAGATGTACGCCGTATACACACATACGAAAATGTAAATCTAGTGTATACACCTAGTCATTTATACGGAACGTGCATGCACGTGCGCGTGTATACATGCATGCGCGCATGTACGCACGCACGCATTCCGCTTGCGTGTGTGTGTTGCTTCGAGCGGTCCCCACCCAAATACGCGAGGCGGGATACCCAGGGAGCACCAGCACAGTCTGGGCCTAACGGCCGCGGTATGCAGTCGTCGCTCGTCGAGGGCGCGGGGCGGGATACCAAAGGAGCAACGGCACGCTCTGGGCTCGACGGCCGCGGTGCGCAGGGTGTGCGAGGTGGGTCGGGGGGGCCCTCTTCTTTAAAACTTTGAATTAAGGATCGATTTGCGGGGATCTATGGATGTTGGTCGTCTCTGGCGTTTTCTTTTGCCGTCTGGAGCCATCGGGCCGCCACGACCAGGCTCCCTCCCTTCAAAATTCTGGCCAGGGCGCGCTTGAACGGGGATCTTCCTGCCGCCCTCAGATCCAGGCGTCGCGAAAGCACCATCACGGCGTTTTATGGCTCCCCCGTCGGGTCCCAGGACCCTCACGGATCAACGCGGATCGAGATGGTTTGGAAAAAAAACCCTTTAAACAAAAGGGTCGGGAGCACCCGCCGCAACTTTTCATTGTCACCCTGTTCCTACAAGGCTCCTGAGGGCTGTCGGAAGCCGAAAATTGACACAAACCCGCCGTCGCGATTTGTCCACACCGAAAAGATGCCAGGGCGGGGAGGCACGGGGGTGGGGGGCGGGCGGGCGGGAACGAGATCTCTGCGACGGTGTCCTCCTTCTCGGCGCCTGTCGTCCTCAGGGGGGGCGGTGGGCGCGGGCTGGCCGTGCCCTCGTCCAGGGTGCCGCTGCAGACCTCGCCCGCCCTCATCTTCCCACCCCCTGCTCTGGCTCCTCCTCGTCCTCTTGCCCTTTCTCTCCCCATCCACTTCCTCCCGCGCCCCATTAGCAAGGGTACGCAGGTGGATGTCCCTTGGCGCCGTTGCTGCCACGGCCGGCGCGGGCTCGCTTTCCGACGGCCAGATCGCGAAACCGTTGGGGCAACCCCGTAGGCCACGCCGTTGGAACAACCCCACGACCCGCTGGTGCACGGGAGTACGCCTTTGGGACAAACCCGTAGGTTTCGAGCTAGTCGCGGCTGCGCTCAATCGGGAGGCAGCGCAAACCCCAAGTCTGCTGCGAGCTGTTCCGCCTCAGTCCTGGAGCTCCCCGTTTCGTTGTCGAACTCACCGAGCGCTTTCCGAAGGGAAACCGGCGACCCGCGTTCCAAGAACTCTCGCGTGGGCGGCCGCAGGATCAGCATGCTCCGCATACACGTCCTCGCCATTTCCTTACAGACGAAGCGCCTGCTCGAGCCTCCCGCCATGTTCAAGCTTCAAGAGCGCAGAACTGACAACAATTACACACAGTTCCGGTTGCCCGCTTGGATTGGTAACATGAGCTGCGGGCCCCTCAAGGGCGGGGCTCCCGCTTGAGACTGTTTCGCCTTTCTACCACAGACGAAACTCCCGCCAGAGATGTTCTCAATACTCAAGCTTCAGGGGGCCAGAAGTGATGACAATTACTAGATTGGCCAGTTGGAATGAATAACATGATGTGTGGGCCCCATATGGAAAAGGATCCCGCCTGAGACTTCCTGACAATTGACTCAAAGAAGAAACTTCCGCTCAAGACTTCCGCTAAATTCAAAACTGAAAAACCCAAAAATGACGACAATTATACGGTTCCGATGACCCGCGCGGATAAATAACATGAGCTGCAGGCCCCGTATGGACGGGGCCCCCGCCTAAGAATTCATCGCCGGTCAATCACAGACGACACTCCCGCCAAAGACTTACTCAATACTCAAGCGTCGAGAGGTCGACACTGACGACAATTAAATGTACCGGATGACCCGCGAGATAAACAACATGAGCTGCGGGCCCCATAGGAACTGCCGCCTGACACTTCCTCACAATTCGCTCACACACGGGGTTCCCTCTCGAGACTTCGGCTGCACTCAGGCTTGAAATCCCAGAAACGAAGACAGCTACAGGAAATCGCTGACCCCGAAACTCTCCCGCAATTCAATCACGATGATGATATGGATGTGTTATTATTGGGTGGGTGTCCTGAAAAAACATTGCGATGATGATGATGACGATGGCGACAGGTCACCATTATGGGATGACGGCAGCTATGATCGATGACGAAGGTGCGATGATGATGACGATGATGGTGGTAATGAGTGCGAACACATGGTGAGGAAGAAAGGGGTGTGAGGTGAGGTGTGAAGTGCGAAGACTGCGCGGGGTGTCCAGAAAAAACAAGAGCCCCACTAAGGATGTGGGGGACAAAACGCAGGAGCAGATTCGTCGGCAAAGCGGGCCAAAGGCGTGCTAACACTTCTGGTAACAGCTGTGAAATAAATTTGGCCCGCGCGCGCGTGGCTACCCCTGGGGCCGGGCCCCCCCAGACGGCAGGAGAGAAAAAAACAAAACAAAAACATGCAAATCCCGGGCGGTCCCCAGGCAAGTCCCGGGTCCCGGGCGGCACCCGTCGCGATGTCGGAGTACCGGGGGGGGTGCATTCAGGGCCTGCAAGCACGTTCAAAACGGGCCCCCAAGGCGGCCAAAGAGGACCCGAGTCAGCGGAAGTCGTTCTAAAATGCCCAAGATAGCCTCCGGACTGCTGCAGTCGCCTCCAAGACGCCCGAAGATGCTTCCAAGACGACTCCCGAGAAGCCCCCTAGAACTTCAAGTATACGATTAAGCTTCGGTTGTCGAAAGTTTTCAGCGTTCCCACCTTTTCGGCTGCCGACGCTCAAAAACGGCTTATTGAACCCCATAAGATCGCTCCAGGTCTGCCCATTCAGCCCCCAAGGGAGCCCCAAAACGGTCCGCGGGGACTCCAGGCCCACACTTCTGCCAATGCGATGTTGGAGAGTTCCACGACGCCGCTGGGGTGGACCCATCGAGGGGGGGCCCCAACGCACGCGTCGAGCCTTCGGACTCAAAATCGCCACTGGAGACCCCCCAACGCCTCCGACAAGCACTCAACTGGCCTTCGGCCTCCAAATCGCCCCCAGAACCCACCCCCAGGCCTTCGAGGAGCTCCCGATAAGCACTGCGAAGCTCCCAAGACGCGCCCGGCAGGCCGCGAGGGGCCTCAAAAGAGCTCCTAGGAAGCTCCAAGAGCCCTTGGAGCCCTCGGCCCCAAGTGGCGCCCAGGCTGCCCCGTGCGGCCCGGCCAAAAGAGAGCCCCCCAAGAGGGCCCGAGAGGACCCCGAGAGGCGCCGAGAGGACCCCGAGAGGCGCCGAGAGGACCCGCGAGGACCCCGAGAGGACCCCGAGAGGACCCCGCGAGGCAAGAGAGGACCCGCGAGGCGCCGAGAGGACCCCGAGAGGCATCCCAAGGCGCCCCCCAAAGGCCCCCAGGAGCCCCTGAAACTGCCGCGCAGGAGCCCCCCGAGAACCCTTCGAAGAGACACCGACGAGCATCCGCGAGGGCTCTAACCCACAGCCGCCCTCGCGCGCGCGCGCAAACGCCAGCGACGCAAAGACGCAGGCCAGCGGGATGAGCGAAGCGATTAACAAGGAGCAACCAACATAAACATCAAATCCCCTGGACCCCTGGCGCGTGCCCGGAGCCTCTAGAGGAGCCCGCCCACGCCCCCAGGGCCGACGGGGCGCCGAGAGGCTCGGGGAGTTCAGATTTTCGATGTCCATCTGCATGGTCTGAACAACGCCCGCCCAAAGGACAGCGCGCTGCGATGCGCAATCTCTTCGAGCTCGGCCCCTCTTCAAGGGTGGCGCGGGGGGGGCCTCGGGCGCGCAGGGCCGCGGAGCAGCGGCGCGCGCGCCAACGGGAAGAAAATTACAACAACTAATAACGCGCCACATTCCTCTTGACCCTTGCGCGCGCCCAGAGCCTCCAGAGGGGCCCGCCCGCGACCCTCGGGCCGACGGGGCGCCGAGGCGCTCGGGGGTTCACATTTTCGATGAACCACCTGCGCGGCCTGACACCGCCCGTCCAAATAACAGCGTGCTGCGGCGCAAATTCTCTCCCAGCTGGGTCGACCATAATGTCGCCCACAAGGCGCTCCGGCGCGCGTGTCGCGATCTGAGTGGGCGACGTTCGGCGCGACAACATCTGCTTCGAATATGACCGGCAATCGGAAGAGCACAGGATGTCACGTCTGACGAAAATGCTGGGGGCCCGTCGAGCTGAACATTGTTGCTGAAAGGTTCATTATCGAGATCTGCTGCTGGGTCCGTTCGCTGTATTGCGTCAGGAATTTGGCATGGCGCTCACATGTGGTCACGCTCTTCTTGGCTGCCCGGCGTCCTCGCCGACGTGCTTGTTCCAAGGTCCGATGCTCATGATAGACTTCATGATATGGCGCCGCGTGCCGCGCAGCGCGCGGCGCGATGTCGAGCTCGCCGTGGCCCGGCGCCTCGGCGGCAGCCCTGAAGTCCTTCTCGCACTGGCTGAGGCCCAAATCGGGGAAGAGACGGGTCTTCGGATCGGTAGCCACGCATGGCTTCCCTGCGCCGGAGTGGACGGCGCGACGCGAGGCCCTTGCCACATGGGCGGCCGCCATCTCTGGAGCCCACGGCCTCGAAGGGCCACCCAGCGCCACGGAGTCGCCCCTGGCCAGCCTTGGTCGCGTAGACGAGGTCGGCGGGCGCAAAGACGACCCCCCAGTCGCGCCCCGCGCATGCCAGGCACTGGGGGCATCGCAGCGCGCGCAGCCAAGCTCGATGCTCTGCGAGGGCGGGCCGCAAACGTCAAGCTGCAAGGCCACGCGCGCGGCGCTGTCGCCCATGCCGTTCTCTGCCATCCGAACGCCCATGTCCAGTGAGACTTCCTGCAGAGCAGGATCCTTCCGATCTCGCGGGCCCGCTTGCCCCAGCTGGGCAGTGCCCGCTCGCCGTCGCAGAGCCCGCTCCGCTCCTGTTCGTAGTTCGTCGGCAGCAGCAGGAGGTAGCCGAAAAAGACGGCGCGACCCGCGCTGGGCCCGTGCCCATGCTGGCGCATGAAGCAGGAATGCTCTTGCATGGCAGTGGGGAAGCTGTCCTCGCCGGCTGCGCGGCGGCACTTCTCCGCCCGGCTGCATAAGGGGCCCAACTGCCGTCGGCGGGCGTCCTTGGCCCCGTTCCCGGCGGCGCTCTCTCGGAGAGAACGATCAGATGCGAAACGCGATAGCTGCCCACTTTGGGCACAATGTTGACGGATCTGCGCCTGCTGCTTTCGCTGCGCACTGCTGATGGCACCAGGCCCCATCAAGTCCCAGACGCGCCCCTGGCCCTCAAGAACGCGACGCACATTGCCCCCAGAGCACTTGGCCTCCAGCCCACGAAACGCCGCGACGTTTCACATGATCGCGGTGGGCTTCTTGTACGGGGCCTCGCACTGGCACGTGTCAAAGGAGACCTTGAAAACCTCTGGGATCCCCGCGGGGTCCACGATAGGCCCGAAGTCCCACGATACGGACGGCGAAGGATTCCCCAGGCTCCATTAGACCCCTCGCCGCGACGCCAAAATTCAGATCTCGGCCGTGAACAGGGCTAACTCCACCGCGACGTTTTCTTGAGCGTGGGCCTTATATGAAATTCCGCACACCTCTCCTCGCGATAGACCGGGCCGGACATGGTGCCCCCAAGTGGGTGCGCCATCTGAGCCCTGACGAAATGCACGACAAGATGAGGTTCTAGGCATTTAACTGATGTCGCACCTTGCTCCGCGCAATAGCTCCGCAGGTGGCGCCGCTCGTAGGCCGCGAGGCCGCGGGGCCCAAATAAGGCCAGCCTCGCCAGCGAAGAGCTCGAGGAAGAAAGCCCCCTTGGCTGGGGAAGCTCGAAGGGGCCCTCGCCCTCCGAGCGACGGTCTGGCGCGCGATGCTGGCGGACCGGCGGAACGCAGGTCTGACTTGGCCTCGTCGACCCCGGGCGCCGCTGCATCGGCGCCTCCCCAGGCAGGCCCCGCAAGCCCTCCAGACTGATGCAGCCGCGGGCCAGCGTCGGCCACGCTGCGCCTGCTCTCAACGCGCCGACCACGGCAGCGGACGCGCGCGGCAATCTGATGGCCTGCCGCGCGCCGAGCCAGAGCGTTGAGACCCCGCGACTTAGCTCGGCCCTTCTCAAAAACGCAGATAGACACTAAAGCGTCGACGACGGTGGCGACCCGCATCCCGCGCGAGTAGCTCTCGGTAGCCCGACGAGCGAGACGCGGCGCGCCTTGAGATTGATGTGCTCATGCGGCCAGCGACGGCGGCCCACCTGCAGGTGCTTCCATCTATCACGAACATGCCAGCGGCAGTCGATAGGCGGGACCGCGCTGGGCGACCTCGTGGAAGTGAAACCCCAAAGCCTGCTCCGCATCCCGCTCGATGCAATGCTGAAACTGCCTGGCGAGGCCCGCCGACTCGGGGGGGGGGGGGGGCGTCTCTGCCCCCCGCGCAACGGTGCCCGAACGGCAGATCTCGCGCTTCTTTATGTCGTGCTCGGCCTGATTCTTCTGCCCCTGCGAGCACAGGTCCTTGGGCGCCATGAGCTCCGCGAGGGTTCGATCTTCATCCAAGTTTCGAGGTGGCTTCCCGTGCGCCTTGACGCGCCGAGCGACATGGTCAAGCACGCCGGATTGCAGGGGCACGGGCGAGACACCTCCGCATCTCCTCGTACTTGCGAAGCTTGAGAAAGATGTGGTTGCGGCGGTGAGCTGGTTGAGCGATCTGACCGTTGCACCCTCTCGCCGACGCCGGAAAGACTGATCACGCCGACGCTGTCGAACGCATCTAGGAGCGCCGAGCGCCAGGAGAAGCAGTCGAAGGGGCCGATGGCGCAGGCAGGGGGGGGGGGGGATCCCTCCATGTAGACGCTGAGATTTGAGACGACTTCGGACGGCGGCGCCCAATGGTCAAGACTGGCGGTAGGGGTGGCCATGCTGCGCGATCACCCCGACCAATCGCCAGCCGATCCCTGGGGTCAGCTCTTCTCCTCTGATATGTCACCGTCCTTGCCCCGCTTGGAAGCCTTCGGCGGCTTCTTGAGCTTCTCGCCATCGTCGCCCCTGCCACCTCGCGCGCGCTTCTCCTCCTGGTGGCGCTCCTCCCGCAGCAGCCGAGCCTGCTTGAAAGCCTGGGCCCTCTCGCCCTGCCGCTTGCGCACCCACTCGCGGAAACATTTGCCGGCAGCTGCGCCGTTCTCGGTCGCAGGCCCGCCGAAGACCAAGTCCAGGCCTCCGTAATCTGGATGCTTCGCATTCCTCTCAACAACCATATCGATCTGAATCTGGCGTCGTACCACGTGTTCCGAGCAGGCAAGATTCGGAATATTGAACTAATCCACGTGGTGACCCAACCGAATAACCTCCGAGTTGTTGCGATGCCCATGAAGGGCAGCTGTGCCCTCGCCAACGCCACTCTCCTGCCGCCACTCACTCTCGTAGACCACATATCCACGGCCGTCGTGCATGGACTCCACTCCTTGTCGCCCAAGCAGGGAAGGGCCAGTCGTCGAACTTCTCCTCCGTGTAGAGCTGCACCGTTTGAACAAGGGCAGGTTCCGCTTCCCGTGCTTGCGTTGAACTCCGAGGAAACGAACATCCCCTTCAACGTCCTCATGGCCCTTCCTCCGCTCCTCCTGCTTGGCGGTCGGCACCTTCTCCACGAACCTGACCTTCCCGAGCCAGTCCACCACTCCGAGCAAGCCGATGGTCTTGAGCCGATCGTCATCGTCGCTGATCTCACCTGGCACCTCCTGGCCGAACGTGTCATAGTCGACAGCATACACGAGCCATTTGACGTCCTCGGCGTCCTCGAAGCCGACGTCGCCGGAGATCGCGGCCTGGACACGCGCCTGGCGCACGTACCCGTCCAGGTCGCCCGGCTCCAGGGCGTCGTCGTCGAAGCCATTGGACTGGGCCGCGAGGTCACGCGGCCACGCAGCGCGCCGCTCGACCACTCGATGCCGCTGGACGCTGAGATCATGGCGCACCAAGCGGCCGCCAGACACACGATACAAAAAGACACGATGGTGCCATACCAGCCCAGTCTCGTCATCAGGGTAGTACACCAGCACCTGCGGCAGCTCGATGTCAAGCGATGAAATCCTTCAGCAGCCCTGGCGTGGTCGGCCCCCTCACCTGGCCCTCGGGCCCTCACGCGCATGGCCGCGGGCCCGCCACGCTGGTCGAAGCCGAGCGTTCTGGGCAACCGCTCTGGCCCTCGCCGTAGCCCACGACGAGGCCGCAGGTGACTCCGCAAGCCGCGGAGAGGAGCGCCATCACGTCGCCCGAGAACAGCAAGTGCCCCACCTCCGCCGAGGGGCAGGTGCACTCGCAGTGCGCAGCCGGGCAAGTCGGCCCCGACGCGCACGTGAGGCTCGGGCAGGGAGGATACGAAATGGCCACCGCGGCCGTGCTCCAGTGCAGCCCGAGCGTCGTCAGATCGCGGGCCGTTGCGAGCAGGGTCGGGATGGGCTCAGCCCAGCCAGTCATCAGAGCTTGAGCACACAGAGCAGCGGAGCAGCGACGTGCACGCCAACGGGAAGAGAGGAAAAAACAGACATATGTCACAACCACCTCTCCTGCCTCTTCTTCCTGCTCCTCCGTCGTACCTCGCAACTCCCACCAACCAGCTCTTCCCTGGTGTTCCATGCGCCACTCCTGCCTCGCGCGACCTGCAATCCTGCGCGGGGGGACGGCGGGGCCTGTAGTCGTTCACCGTCCCCGTGAGGATCACGTGCGGGCAGCAAGCGGACTCCCGCAGCTCGTGCAGGAGCCTGTCCCTGCCGCACGCGAAGAAGTTTGTCTGCAGGCTGTATCTGTAGTATCTGTGCCATATGCTTCGCAGCTCCTCGGGAGGCAACTCGTGGGAGGCCTTCGTAAGAAGAACCAAGGGCTATCAAGACCGATCAGGGAGCAATCAAGCCGGATTACGCCAGATTCGGCCAAGCGTCAGCCCGATGAAACAGGGTTGAACGGGACTAAGCTGGATTAAGCGGGAGTATTGCGGATGAGGCTGGTTTTCGACCAAGGATGCACACCAGCGCCGATGCTGAATTTAACCTTCCAGGAGCTGCATCTCGAAGCTCCTGGTACATAGGAACGAACAGCGCGATCACGAAGCAGGACGAGACGAACGCCTGCCAGCCGCGCAAGTTCCAGCGGAACACGCCCAGGAACGGGTGGAACGTCAGGGGCCCGAACACCCTGAACTGGATAAACACGAGCAGGACCAGGAAGAGAAGGCACGGCCCTGCCGACACGGGCGGGGCGGATGAGGGCGGCAGAGAGGATGGACTCTCGTTCTGGGACCATCCTGGAGCCACTCGCTCCACTCAGAGGTCGACGCTGCGTCGAACGTACGTCGGCTTGGGTCGAACTTGAGTCGAGCCAGAGTCGAACCAGAGTCGACCTACAATCGAACATATCCGTTGGGCGACCCCCAGGGAGATACCCAAAAACGAACATCTAAGGAGGAGGAAGACGAAGTGGCCGATGAAGAGAACGACGAGGACGTCAACTATGCGCGAACCTCGGGGGACGACGGCGAGGATGCCGACGAGAACGAGGGCTAAGAGGGTGACGAGGACGTCAACGGCCCCCCTCCCTCCTCGAGGCCCAAGATCAGTCGGCATCGAATTGGGACATCGGACCTGCTCGACATCTGCGTCGGGTCGGGCCGCATCGGCACGGAGTCGAGAGCAACTCGGATCGGCAGGGCCAGGATGCACAACGGCGCCGTGCGAGAGCATCGGGCCGCATCGAATCATCGGAACATCGGAACCGAATCGGATCGGGCGGGCCGAAATCGGCATTACGCGGCTTTCGGGTTACACTTCTGGTCTCTGGCGTCCAGGCACCAGCGCTCTCGGCGAGGCGCAGCTGCTGAAACGCATCCCGAAGAAGGGACAGGTGCAAGAACCGACCAGAACGCCTGAAAACCCCCGATGCCGAATCGGATCGTGGGACAGTCGGAGCGTCGGAGCCGAATCGGGCAGGGCGAGATCGACATCGAGCCAGATCGATTAGATCGAAATGGGCCCTGGAGGGTCACTGGGCCGACCTCGGGCCTCCCGGAAGGCCCTCGGACCCTCGGGTGGGGGGGGGGGCTCAGGGCCTCCTCCTCCTCCTCCGCCTCCTCCGCCTCCGTCCCTCCTCCTGCCACCTCCTCCTGCTCCTGCTCCTTCTGCCGATGCTGCTGCTCCTCCTCCTCCCCCTCCTCCTCCCCCTCCTTCTCCTCCCCATCACCCCCCCTCTTCCTCTCCTCCGGCCTATCCCCCTCCTCCTCGTCCTCGGGCTCGGGTTCGCTCTGGCTGCCACAAGGGGGCGTCGGGGGGCGTCAGGGGACCCCGAGGACCCCCAAGAATGGGGCGGCATCGGAAGAGCTCTAGGGCCCGCAGGATCTGGGAGGCGCCCGTGAAGCACCTCGGGGAGGCGCCTTGGGGGACCGAACAGACATTTTCGTTGATAAAAAACGCGACGCAGCTCTCACCTGGTTCCTTGACCTTCCAAAAACGACTCGAGGTCGAGAGGCCAGTCCTAGGGAAGGAGTCCAGGTCTCTGTGGAGCCACGCACGACGGAGGATGTCTGGGGCCTGGGGGGCACCTCTTCGAGGAGCTCGGAGGCGACGTCGAGGGACGTTGAGGCATGCGAGCCCAGAATCGAATCGATAAGTCGGATCGGCGATCGACATGAATCGGATCGGCGGAAATCGGCAGCCGAGTCGGGAGAAGTCGAATCGGCGCAAATCGGTCGGCTAGCAGGCCTCCATTGTGAAATCCAGATTCGGAATCGAAAGCCGAACCGAATCGGAATCGGAGGCCACAGAAATCGAATCGACTCGGATCGGAGGAATCGTAACGAGCCCTGTGAGCGTGGGGGCCTCGGACGTTGGGAGGCGTAAGTGCGGCATGCGAGGGCTCGGGAATTTCCTCTCTCCGTGGCCCGCTGGGGGTGGAGGGCTCGTCGATCCGCCTCGCCAGAAGGACTTGGCACCCGCAAGCCAATCGACTTTTCCCGTGCCCTCCCTCCCCTCCCCCCACCCTTGCTCGAGCCCTCATTATCCTTCTTCTCCTCCTCCTCCTCCTCCTCCTCCTCCTCCACTCCCTCCTCTTCCTCCTCCGTCTTCTTTCCTGCTCCTCCTCCCTCGTGCTGCTCCTCCACCACCCAATCATCAGGACCCCCGTTTCTCCAGCCTCTCCTCCTCGTTTTCTCCTCGTGAGGGGGGGGGGATCATGGAAATGGCGCAAGAGTTCCGCCACCAGTGGTAGAATGCCAAATGCTGTCTGGAGGGATCCCTGCAAATCGTCTCGAGGACCCCCGCTCTCTCCCACTGTTCCGTCGCACGCACCGCCCGCTCCTCACGAGGCAACCCGGACGACCCTGACACTTCCTTGGGCTCGCCAAGCCTCACCATATATAACCTCCAACACGGCCTCGGAAGGTCATCGAAGCAACCCAAATCCCCAAGATCCCCAACATTGGTTCCAAGAGACCCTCCTACACCCACAAGACTCAAGGCGCTCGCCTGGGACTCCTCCAGGGGCCAGAACCGTTCATTACCCTAGGCCCGAGGCGTGTGTCATTGTTTTGCGATTTCCACGCTCCTTGGTCGAAGAACGGGCCGCTTGCGGTCTTCGAAAACGGCATTAAACAACCCGCGGATCTTACCCAGACGGCTTCTACGTAATCGGCACCCTCGATGGCCCAACGCGGCCAGAAGATGGCCCCACGACGGCCTCCTGAGACCCCCCCATACGGCCAAGAGGGCCCCAAGACAAGCCCCAAAAAAACCCAAGACGGCCCAAGAAGGCCCCAAGACGGTCCCGACCACGAAGTGCGCCCCACAGGAACCCCAGGCAGTCCAAAAACGGTCCGACAAAACTCCATGAGGGCTCTTGAAAAAGTAAAGGAAAGAGACGTCACTTGTGACAGCCATCGTGCTCCTCTTCCTCCTCCTCTTCATCCTCCTCATCGTTTCGTCATCAGCATCAGCCGCGTCACCCTCGTCATCCTTATCCTCATATTCTCCATCCCCCTCCTGCTCACCAGACAAAAACCCGGTCAAACTACGACAGTTAGCCCGTGAACGGTCGAGGAAACAACGCGCAGGCCCAAACGCGCGCGCATGGGAGAGCAAGCGTCGCGCCTCCGAGAGGGGAAAGGGGGGCAGGAGGAGGGGACGGCCTTCGCGCGTGGTTGCAATAGTCGACGACTGCTCTGTCATCGCGTTTTCGTGCGACTTCATGCTGGCGGAATATAAAAAGCAAGACATCGCAAGCAAATCCTTGAACGCGGATGTCCCATCTTGTCGAGGGGTGTCCACGCGGTCGTATGGCTCGGCGTGTGGCGATGGCTCCACATTATGACTTGTTGAGCCTATACGTTGTCCGACCGAGCTGCCCTGAACGCAAGTCTGAAAAAAAGCGGCCAGTTTTCCCATGGGGATGATCTGCGTTGCATGGTCGATCTGGTCCTTCCTTCGTCTCAATGTGCCTGTCCACCGCTCATCTTCATAACGCCTCCACCCAGCGATCAACAGACATGTTTTTGAAAGACGCCCAAAGGATACATTTGCTGCTTCGTCAAAATCGTGGCCAATCGTCCGAACGACAAGGTTCGCGGAATGACCGACTGGAGCAATATGAGCCGCAAACTGACTGATACATTCGGGTCCGTGAAAACGCGACGGTGCTGGACACATGTGTGCCAAACTTGACGGAATCTCCGCCAAGCTTGATAGCGTTACGGTATTTCGGGTTGGCCGGTAAGCTCCTTCCCAAATACTTGTGGCCATCCGTGCCATGACTGTCTACATGTGCCCTCCGGCCTCGACGATTAAATATGTTATGCATCTCTCCGTGGTCAGGATTTTTCTTGTCTGCGAGTTCTAATGTAATCCGTCTGCATCGAGCTCCTCTATCAGCGCCTCCATCATGATGGACAACTCACCGGCAGACCTCGCGCACAACAGGATGTCATCTGCACGCCGTGTATGATACATTCGCGAGCTTATCGCCGTCATCGAGGAACCAACCAATTTCCATCTTTCCACTGCTCATTCCAACCCAGCACTAAACAACGTCAGGCTGATGACGTCGCCTTGCTCGAGCCCCCACTGGATGCGAAAATGTTGGGCCCCTGACGCTGCGCCCGTCTGTCCGGAATACAGCCTCGCAAACAAAGCGATGTGGTCTACAGCGACGCTTTGACGACGAAACCCGCGAAACAAAAAACTGTACTATATCCGGTCGAACGCTTTGCGTAGGTCAAAACTGGCACACCGCAACGGCACCTGACAATCGATACATTAACTGCATGCAATTTCAAAGAAAGAAAACGCGTCATCAACCGAGTGGTGGAGCTTGAATCCGACCTGGTCGGGCCATTGCGCCTGCAGCTAAGGAGATGGACTCGAAATCCATTGGGCTCTGGCCGCAGGTCGAATGCTCATCACAATCACCCATGATCATCGTGTTCCTCATCCACCTCGCCGACCACTATCCTCCTCCTCCTCCTCCTCCTCCTCGTCCTCCTCCTCCAACTCCCCCTCCATCCTCCTCTGCATCATCGGCAGGTCCAACATCATCCTAGGTCGTCCAAAACTGGCTGCACAACAATCCGCGATGGCCCGATACTGGCCGAGATGTCACATGGTACGGCCGTTTGCGTTTGGGAGTTGCTCCAAACGTCGACACAAAGAGCATGAGGCAGGATAACCAACAACGACGACGAGGGGGGGGCAGGAGGAACGCCTCCCGTGCGCCCCTCGACCATCGGCCAGTCGCCACACAGAGTGCTCAGGTGGCCCAGTGGTGGGACTTGCCGCAGGCAGCTGGATAGGGAAAAGGAACGTACGAATGCGAGGGGGAGGAGGAGGCGAAAGTGGACGGATGGGAACGAGATATATGAGAAGGCGGATCGTGTGTGTGTGTGTGTGTGTGCGCACTTACCCGCCTACTTCAACCGCGGATGGAGAGACGGTACCTTGTCAAACTGAATAATGAGGAAGGGGATGGACAGGGAGAAGGAAAGAGACAGGATGAGGCAGGAGGGGCTGTGACGACAACGACGAACAGGCACAGATTCAGGAGAAATGAAGGAAGATGCGAAAGTACAACGCATGACAATGAGGAAGGGCGTCAGAGGAGGAAGAAGAAAGACACGCCTGCTGACCACGCGATCACGGCCACAAAAGAAGAGCCGGTAAATGGCATCGCGACAACCGCCCCCAACAACGCCATCACAATGAAGGCCAAGAACCACCTGGCATGGACGGCAACGCGAAAAAGGTGTCGGAAAGTCCCAAGGAGATTCCGGCTGCCCGACAAAGAGCAAACAGATGCGGAACCTACGGCTAATGCACATCAAGCTGACGTCGGCGTAGTTCTGACACCGCCTGGATCGCAACCTGGATCGATCGCGACTCGGCCGATTCCAGGCAACTCGGCGACGCCCATCCTGGAACCCCCACGCTAGAGTCGCCGCCGAGTCCACGCAGAGCGAGCTTCTCCCAGCAGCAGGCCGCCGTCGGATTCTCATCCCTGCGGGCCCTGCCGACGAGCCTCGCGCCCGTGGTAAGGGCAGACTTGTGGGCCCTCGCACAGCGGGAGGAAGAATGCGACCAGTGCGCGTGGAGCGCGCGATGAACTACCAGACAGCACAGCGACGGCCCATCGAAGATGACTCCGACGGACCTCCCCCGTCCCAACCCCGCTGCTGAGAGGCTTTGCTGCCGCGGGGGGGGGGGCCAACCCTGGGGCCCTCCTGGCAGCTGAAGGAAGAGCGCGACCAGTGCGTGTGGGGCGCGCGCGCTGAACACCAAAACAGCGTTGATTCCGACCGACCTCCCTCGCTCCATCCCCGCTGCTGAAAAGGCTGTTGCTGCGGCGGGAGAGGCACACCCACAGGTCGGGGGAGCAGGCACTCTTCCCACAGAACGCTCGCACAACAGACGCAGAAGAAGGATAGGCGGCAAATCTCCCGGAGCCCCCATCGAGGAACTACCGAAAGGCTGTTCGCCATTCAGTCATTGGAAACGCACCATGAACGACCACCGTGTAAACTGAGTGGAGCCGTCCTTTCTCTGAAGACTCGCATCCGTACCAAGTCAGTGCTGCACTCTTGGCAGCAAACCGCCATCTCTTGTGTAGCGATTGTGTGACCGAGCCAACTGCACACATACTTGTAGACAGTTCAGGGGTTCTCCGACCTAGGACCGTCTTCACCAACAAGACGGGGGGGGCTCTTGTGGCCGCCCCGGCGAAATCAATGGATAACGCGAAAGAGATACTCTACGCATTGGCGGCCCGCGGCGCTGCAGCTGCTGCCCGAACGCCACAGGGAAGCAGCTTTGTTTGCGGGCGTCGGTAGCCTGCACCAACAAGCCAAACAGCTATCGCCATGGAGTTTTTGTCCTCAGATGCGCAGACACAACGATCGCGACTATCACGGCGCGGGGCTCGCGCGGGGCGGAGAAAACAGAAAGTTCAAGACCGAGTCAGGCGTGCGCTCATCGGCATCTCATCGATGCCCAGACGCACAAACACAGCGCCACGAACGGAATCAAGAGGCACCACGTCACAGGGATGATAATAAGATCTTGCGTAAATGGTATGCCCGAAGAGCTGATCAAATCCAGCTGGTCCTTCGTGGCCGCATTCGCGAAAAAGAAGACGACGTAGTTGATGGCGAAGAAGCTGTACAGAGTGCCCGCCACAAAGATAAAACCGTCGCGCCTCCGCAACCTCCGCAGCTGAAACTTCCAGTCTGGGCCCCCTTGCCTGTGACACTCGCACAACACTGCGCTGGTACGCCATTCTGATGATAGACAACGGGATGTTCGCCAAAATGGAGGAGCGCACTCCAACCGCTATAAGCCATCCCGACGTCTGCCACGCGCACTCGTCATCCTCGCACTCAACGCTACACTCTGGCGGGGAACCCTTTCCCAGAGCACCACCTGTGGCCGTGAAGAAGACAGTGGCGATCCTCACGGCCCCCAGAAGCTCGCAGCCGAACAAAACAACCCTGACAGACCTCGTGATTGTGATGTTCCGCACAAACACCGACATGACAAGGCAACGAATCCGCCGACCCCTTGTGTGTCGCTAGGCGTGTGAGACTCTTCCCCGCCATAGTCACCCCCCAGGGACCCCAAACCATAGATTTCCCCCCCCCCGGCCAAACACGACCCACCCCCGAACTTATCAGGAGGGGTCCGCCCCCCCCTGGTTTCCCTTTGGAGCTCCAAGACAGCCCCTGAAGCCTTCCAAGATTCCCCAAAACAGTCCAAGAGTGCGCCGAACCGCCGAAATATCGATCCAGACGCGCAACATGGCCCCCAGACGGCGCAAGATGCCTCCAAGACGCCCCAAAGGCCTTCAATATAACCCCCTCAAGAGGTCCCCCAAGAGGAAAACACACACACACACACACACACACCCTTCCTTTCTGGGAAAACAAGCAATTCAATCATCTTCGCTTCTGGGGCTTTCACTACGTCCAGCACGGCTCAAGTGGCCCCCATAGAAAGTTCCAAGACGGCCCAGTAAGGCTCCGAGACGGCCACCGAAGCCCACAAGACGGCCCAAAAAGTCCCCAGGACGGCCGCAACAGTGGTCCCCGAGGGGGAACCCGAACGGAAATGTCAAGCTTTCGACCTCAAGACGCCTCCAGGCGGCACCACGGAACACCCAAAAAGCCCCAAGAGGCCTCCAGGGAGTTCCAAAATGTCTCTAAAAAACCCTGCCGAACCCCCCATGAGATGTTCCCCCAAACCCCAAAACTGCCTCCAAGACGCCCCTGGGAGGCCTAACGCGAGACCCCCATCAGCCATCCGACTGGCCTCGGACCCACAACCCAAGCGCGGCGGCGGGATGGGCCAAAGGCCATCGAGAATCATTCCTCTGTGTTTTGACATATGCCCGCCGTCTGTGAACGCGGGTTTTCGCCTCTTTCCCCATGAACACCGAGAATGTCAGCCACGGACAATTCATCCTTCTGGTCTCTTCTCGGTTGTCTCTCTTGTCTGCCGTTGAGGGGCCTCGAGACAGGGCGCCCTGGACCGAAGGTAAAAGAACCGCTGCCGAATTTCACTTCCGATCCGATCCCGACCGGTCCGACATCGACATACTTGGTAGCGGACCTGCGGCTCAACGGACAGTAACGCGCGGGATCTTAGATCGGGCGGTCGTCATCGGCCCAGACTTCCGCGATCTTCGATAGATATGGTGCGAAAGCCTGCACACTTGCCATCGCGACCGGTCCATCGCAAAGCTGGGGCACCTACGAACAATACTTGCAAACATGGCACCTGAGTGCCGAGCTGGAAGCAACACCTGTGGGTCCGCATGTAAGATCCATAAGCTTTTCGGCAAACAGCACGATTGAAAACAAAACCAAGCTGCTAGACAGGACTAGTCTCAGCGACCCCGTTGACGAAACTGGAACAATTTGAAAGTTGGGTTTCAATTGCCTGCTAGAGTCCGTGCAAACAGAGAACAGGACAAACGACGACGTAACAAAAAATCATCCGTTTCGCCTCCTGGCTGAATTTGCGGAGATATCATCATAAGTAGAAGACTACGTCAACGAGCCGTTCCACCTGCTAGAGGGAGTAGACCAGGACAGGTTCGCAGTTTTGCAGGAGTATGCCAGGTGGCTGAGTTTGAGAATTAGTTGACGCACAACACACGCAGCCACAGCTCAGTAACCTGTCGACTCGACTGAAGCTAAGACCAAAGTGCGATCCTGAGGGTGCTAGGAGACAACCCTTTGGCCAGAACGGCGGAACACAGAGGCTACGAAGCCTGGGAAGAATAGCCGTCTGAGGAGTGTGACCAAAACTGGATAGAGCAAGGCTGGCTAGACGCCAATTTACAGAAAAGGCCAACTACGGCCAGAAATGCTGTCTGCGGCGCGGTAGCGCCAAACGCTGGGTCCCCCAATGCCCGCGACAGTCAAAATGCAAGGGCAAGGGCGCTGATGGCCGAGGAAAAACATGCAAAACGCCTCCAGGAGGAGGCAAAGGGAACGAGTCAAAAGGCCACTCGACCGGGCAGCTGAAGCCGACGACAAGCAATGCCAAATACAATAAAATCAAAGGCAAATCGCATGCAGGGATGAGCCCAAGAAAAAAACAAATCGTCATTGGCGGTGGGACCGATGGCCCTCTACGGGCCGCCACGGACTGGAACTACACGCGGCACCAGGACCCAGGACGGGTCAGCCGTCCTCGCAAGGTCGCTCAAGGCTGCCCCTGCGTCTGCACCGCCGCGCTCGGACTTCCCTGCCTGCGGCAGAAACAGCGGCCACGCATCGTCTTCGGGGCCGGCGTGCTCGGGTTCCGCGGCCGCCGGAAAGGGGGGGGTGCAGTTCGTCCATGGCAACGTCTCCTGGACAGGCGCACTCGCGCTTCCGGGCCGCTGAAAAGGAGGGCGCTTGCAATTCGTCCGCAGTGCCGCCCATGGCTGTCCACTGCGACGGTTTTTTTTTTTTGGCCACGACGGCCGGACCTGTTTGTAAGCGGCTGCCTGGGCAGCCCTTCTGAACCTAACGCCAGAGGAGGGGCCAGCAAGCGACCACGGACTCATTTCCCAAGGAGGGAGGATGTCCCTTGGCCACTCGCCAGTCCCCCAGGCATTAGTCTGACCCCGACTCCGAGCCCTCAGGGCGGTTCGGAATCAGAGGAGCCTCATCCTCCTCGCACCGCGGCAAGTCGGACCAACCCCTCATCCCCGCACGGGGGTCAGACACAGCGGAGGTGTCACGCACGGGAGCCTCTGTCATTGCACCAGGCACCCCGTCCTCCAACAAAACTCGGGCTTCGGCTTCCTCAGCCTCGATCAAAACATCAAAAACTTCATCTCCTGGTGCAGGTCCCTGCACTCTCGGAGCTTCTTGCTGCCCTCCCCGCCCGCCGCTCCCGAAGTCCACCCGCGCCCCCGTTTCTCTCTCAGCAATCCTAGCCCTCAGAGGGGCCAGACAAGCCAAATGAGACGAGCACGGAGGGATGAGATGAACCCGCGAAGCGGTGGCAAAGGCTCGCACAGCCGCTCCTGACGCTGGCCGTTCAGGAGCCGCACATGAAACTGCAACATTACGCTGAGGGTGAAGGCCTCTCTTGAGCCTACTCAGCACACTGGCACCTGCACTGTGTTCCCTCGGATCACACTTCCCTGCCAGATTACGCACTTTTTCTTGCGAGTAGCTACCACAAAGCATACAAAACACTAGGGGCAGCTTCTCGTCGCCTACTTGCGTACTAGCTAACTTGTGGCCGTGGGCGGGGGCCCCAGAGAGCAACTTGGTGAGGCTCCTCGAGAGACCCTTACACCCCACCTCTGGCCTATCTTGGAGGTGCCCCCCATAAAAACTTAAACACTTGGCACACCTGTGGCCCCACAGCCAGGGCTCCCAGTCGTGCCAGCTCGTGGCGCACTCAATGACCTTGCGCTGGCGCTCACGTCGGGGCGGGCGTTGGTGGTGCACCCTAGGAAAACACGGCCACACGTTCGCCACAAGGCGGGCAACCGTCCCAAGACTCTCGATCGAGCTATCTAACTGCTGCCAGTCGGCGGGCGCGGGTCTGGGATGGAGGTCAAGGGCTCCTTTCGCTTCCCGATCCGCTCGCCAGTTGGCCTGGCCAATCCACCGCTCAGGTGGGGGCAGTTGCTCGATGTCTTCTAACTTTCTATGGGCTGGGGTGTGAACAGCTGGGGCATACTCTTGATTCCTCATGTGGAGCAAGGCCCCCCTTCTCAACCCTCCATAACGTTGCTTGGCCGACACTTGACATGACGGTTCCATGTTATGCAGTTTGACGGCATTCATACAGTCGCTGTATAACGTCGGCCCATGATTTGGTACATATATTGGTAACAACGCGAGCTGGAGTTGTTCTGCCGCTTGACTGGTTTGGGGTAGGCTCGGCCACACAACTCCTTTTGCAACATATCGCTGCACACCCTCCGCATCAAAGAAAACCCACGAGTAAGCCGCCCTCGAGAGCTCTCTGATGGTGTGCCGAGCGCAAGACCCATCTCCAGCTTGGAAAAAGGCGGAACCATCAAACTGATCCCACTCCACTTTTTGCCCATTCATGTCGAAAAGCTCTGGCTCGTGCACATCCGAGAGGTTCGGCCACTCGGCCGCTGGGTGCTGAAACTTGAGGGCCTCGAACAACTGCGCGTCCCCGCTCTGGGCGCGCTCGAGAAAGGCCATGGAGACGTCGGCGGCCTGCCTTGCCGCGACGACCTCCGCGTGCTGGCATCTGAAGATCCTGTGGCCTACTGAATCGGGCTCTTAACACAGGGGGCAGAGGCCTGGTGTGATGTACCCTGACCGTAAAGCCCTGTCCTCGGTCCAGAGCCCTTCACAAAAACACGCCATCACTAAGTATTTACCCTGCGCATTGAGCCCAATACCTTTTATCCCAGACTTAGTGATGCGTCGGATCGGTTCAACACACACCCTGGTCCCAGGGGTCCACCCAAGCTTTTCCCCCAGGACGCGCTCGTGGTGCCTCTGGACCCCCAAACAAAGCCAGTGCCCGATCATGGACGGGGTGGAGTACAGCAGGGATATCTCCACGCCATTATCATCGCGCCAGTCGAGGGGGGCGTAGGCTTCCCACCCGATACGCTGCAGGGAGAGGTGCATTCTACTAATCGGGCCTTTGCTTTAGCCCAGTTGTAGCCTGTGGGCGGGACGGTCCGCCACATACTGCACAGCTCCTGAATCGAGAAGAAGGCGTGCTCGGGGCGCGTGGTAGCCATCCAGACCGCATGTGACCACGCCAAAGCAGGGGCGATCATGCTCCTCCACATGGGGTCACCTAGGAGTGCCGTCTTGGCTCTCAAAGAAACCCCAGCATGCCTGGGCGCTTGGAACGACAACATCACGCTACGCGCTCGCTTAAGTTCAGCGTCGCTCATACCCACCACAGTGTCCCCGAAGCTTAAACCAGGTTTGACCCCCGCCGTGTAGATCTTGCCAATCCTGAAACGCTCCCTGGGAAGGGCCTTTCTATACCTACACAAGATCCTGTGTCTCTTGGTCATGTCTTTTATCCTGCATCGTCTTTTGCGC